GTATTGTCCTGTTGATCTTCTTTGGTTTTGCCACAGCTTCGTTCAAGACGAGATGTTGAAAAGAAACCGGTTCGGATGCATTGACAACCCCTCTGCCCTACCCTGCTTAGCCGTTCCGAACGATCCGAGGTACAGAGCTTCCACCCACCCAGAACAACCGTTGATTGGTGGTTGCTGCGGGCTTTTTCGGGTGCGAGATGGCGGTGCGCATCATATCTTATTGGAGATGCATGTTTGCTTGGGGACCTATCGGATCCGCGTCGGAGGGGGTTCTCCGAGGTTGATCTATCGGGAATTGGGGACCTTGACGCCTAATCTGACGTGGTCTCTAGAAAGATCCTTGTAGATAGAAGGTAGAGAGTGATAATCTAAAGAGAGGGTTACTTTTGAAGCCTGAGAAATGCCCTCTAGGATTCTGTCTTCGAAACATCCAGCATGTCATGTTAGTCTTTGACTTGTCATTCTCGATCAGCGTCGAATCCTAACACACGGCTTGCGCAAGGCCGAATGACAAGAGTTACCTTTCAGCTATTCGTCGACTTTCGTTAGAGCCCAACATCCGAGAATTATGCGGATCGCAGACTTGTAGATGTGTCGGTTCAGTTGGTATCGGCCTATACTCCGCTACCACAAGTGTTCATGCACTATACTGGTAGAGGTTCGAGTATTGCATGCCAACCAAGCCAAATGAATGCGGTGGCGCATCAAAACACTTTGGAGAAGCAAGCCTGCTATAGTTGCCCCGTGAAGACCAGGTACTGGGGTCAAAGAAAGACAATTTCGCAATGACCAGGGTCAGCAAGTCAAGTCTGTACTGGCTCAGATACGTACAGACACCGACCCGAACGACCACCCATGCCAACGGTGGGACCTTCCCTTTGCGGTGAATATGGCCGCATGATTTCTGGCTCTTGTCTGAGATTCTCAGATCGGACAATCTCGGCTCGGATTGAATAACGGCGAACGCGCGCAGTGACTTTGTCTAGTCAGCTGAGGACAAAGAGGCGTCCACCATCATCTCAGGTGTGCGTATCTCAACATCAGAGTGCTCAGGATGTCAGGATGTTCACGAGACCCTGTCTCAATATGGACCCATGGCCGTGACGTTCACGCGCAGACCTTGATAAACAACGCCCAGTTGATTTTTCGAGGCTTTTGTCGACCATTGTTGTCTGCTGTGATCGGCGCCTCAAGACAAGCACGAATTGATTCACCTCCACGTTGACCAAATCGACACGGAGACTCGAACCGGCCTGCAGTAGCAACAGCTAGTGACATCCCTCCCAACAGTTGACGTGGTTGACTGGCTAGAAAAGCTATCTTGAATTGCCTCTCCTTTCTGGATGATGTCTGCTATCCCAACCTTGCTTGCTCATCATTGTTCATCAGAACGGACAGAAGCTCAAATTTCCGCCAGCCCAATCGGTCACGCTGGAACCCCGTCGTCGAAGACCTGACATCACCAAGGCTTTCTTAATTCAAGATCCCACTGGACGAGTTCATGGTCAACGGAACATCAAACCTTTGGCGGCTTTTGTCTCGGCTCAAGAGGATACCGTGCCGACTATGGCATGATAGATGCCCATAGTTCTTGGCATAGGACTCGAGGTGGGAAAACTGTCGCGGTTGCTATGTTGGGAAACCATATCGTGGGCCCAATGCAACTAGAGGCAAACAGGCTCTTGTTCCGATGACAGGTCGGTAGTGTGCAGCTTTCTGGGTGTCAGCAATAATGTCAGCTCCACTAGACCCCAGATTGAGCCTCGTGCATGAGGGGAAGAAGTTCGAACGAGCTCCAAACTCCAACTTCAAAATCTAAGGCTGCGTTGATGGCACCGCTATCCCTGGCCCAGTCCGTTCTCGCTTGGCTCGATATCTCTTCGGCTGCAGGGCTCGACCATACCAAGCGCACAATGGCAGCTATGGTAGATTTAGGTCGACGACGGGGCAAGGCAGGAGGCCGACAGCACGTCGAGAGAAACCAGTCTGGAGTGCACCAGATCACATGATGACATATCACATGCTGACCGATTCAGAAACCCGGATAATAGAGTGAAAAACACACAAAGAGACTTCCATGGCAAGCTCCTCCATCCCGGGTTACGGCCCCCATGCACTGCACCTCCACGTCTCTGGCTTTCTCCGCTCCTGTAGTGTTAATCTACCTCGCATCGGTGGGTTTCTGCAGCTATCAATTTTAGGATAAGACCACAGGGGCGAGATTCAGCCATGGATGTACATCCTTGCTCTCCTACTATGATGTGCGGCAACATTAACTCCAATTCATCGCTAGGATTGGCCCACTGCAGCTCTGTTGGTGTTGGTGTTTAAGAGCTGGATAAAACCAGCCCTGACACAAGTACGAACTTCCCTGCGAGCCCATCCTTTATCCCGCGAGGAAGCAGTAGTTACCCAGTCCGGCACTATCTAACCGTACTATCATCACCATTCGGAGAATCGTGGAAGATCATTGCCCTGCCCCAACTTAGCCAACCGTCCGTGCACGGTGGTTCAATCCACTTAGGTCCACTTGTGGTCCAGTCGAGGCCCACAGACACTGGATCGCGGCTTCTCTTGAGGCCTCGAATGCTCTTTCTCGCGCTCCGTTCCTTAGTGTGGAGAAGAGGGAGGAGACTACTTGGTCTGAGGCAAGATTGGGGACTGGAGAGGCCGAGGTCACAGCATGGAGCAGTGCCGTTTGGCCCGCTGTCCTCGCAATCCTGACCCACCCTTTGATTATCGTTGATAAAGTGTAATTTCTTGTTCGCGCACCGCGTGCCGGCTTATCAACTCGGAAGATAATGTCCTATCCACGTAGGCGAAGGGGGTCCTGGCCAGGCCTTCGAGAGGCGATCGCGTTGATGATGGGACAAGGCCGATCCATAGTGATGAACCAATTGGGAGAAGTGAACCTCCACTAAAGAGCACTAAAAGCTCCTTGGTTTAAAGTCTGCCATGGACAGTCTGACACGAAAGGCAATGGGAGCGATATCATAGGCGTTTTACCGGCCGTTGGTGTATCTCGGAGGATTTGACATCGTCGGTGGCGGGTGAAGGCCAGAGGCAAGTGCTGTAAGCCTGGGATGTGTGCGAGAGACACGAAACGGATCCATAACTGGGAGTTGATGGTGAGAGGATCTAAGGTTTGCCGAAAGGGTTTGAGAAGGCAACGAAGAAGAAAACAAGAAAAGAAAAAATCAGAGTAAACTGGAATCAAAGTTTTGGAAAGGAAAAAAAGCAATGAAAAGGCCGAAAATGGGCAAGAAAGGAAAGGAGGTGAGCAATTAAGGTAAAGAGGAGAATCAAGGAATAGGCAAAACAATGAAAAGGGTAAAAAAAGCGCATTCCTCCTTGAGACACCAGCATCGGCAACACCCTGAAAGGAGCAAACGTACCGGTTCGCTGCGAATAATTAATTCCTTGCTGACCTGCGGCAAGCGCGCTTTGCGCGACCTGAAGCGGTTGCAGCGCAAGACCCCAGTGGGATAGGAAGAGAGTGGAGAGCTTGTCTTAGACGGCCCCGAAATCTGGACTCGTGTTGGAGAGGTGGATCGCCCGCTGAAATCTGGTAGCCTTTTCCCCTTTCATTGCTGTGGTAGGCAACATGTTGTAGTTGCTGCTGTTGCTGCTGCTGCTGCTGCTGAAGTTGCTGGATTCGCTGCGGCCACTTTTATCGCTCAATGACTAGCATGTTAGTCTTCTGCAAATGTATGCAAGGTATGTATATGCACCTCGCATCCAATCTCGCTAGTCGGTTCATGGTGTAGGGTCTGCATCCCGTGGGGAAGGCAACAAAGGACTGGTTGTGACGGCTAGACGGACTGCAAGGACACCTCATAGTACGTCAGAGTTGATTACTTACTTTCTCTGAACGAGTTAGCCTCAAGATAGTGTCACTGCCGCTCCGAACCCATCTGACCAGTCGCAGCGTCCGAAATGGCCAGCAGACCCGGCACGTCAATGAAGGCTTATGGAGACAGACCTCCTGGGTGCCTTCAATCGGACTCAGCATGGCAGGCTGACCCCGTAGAATTTCATAGCCGCCTAATTGATGATCATCCTCTTACATTCGAGCTGATGACCAGCCGATGCCGAGCTGATGTCGGCCCCACGCAGGATCCCACGCGCTTCCTCTCGGTTCATCGCTCACTTCAGCGCACAGGGGATAGATGATGTAGGATATTCTCTCAACAATCCGGTATGGAAACACGCCTGCCCGGCTTTCATGCTGGAGTGCGCCATTTCTTTCTCATTCCCTTGATGTCGTCGAGTAACCCGTCCCTTCCTGACCGCGTCCGCTCCGGGGAATAAAAGACGAATACCGCTGGGGCGGAACCGCAGGAACCTGTTAGACAGGGGAATCAATGTTCCCTGAACTCGGATCGGGTTCAGCTCACGAGGCCTTTCCTATTGAGGCGCACGGACAAAAATACGCGTGGGCTCCGCCTGATGATTTTCCTGGGAGGGCGCAGATGTACGGCGTACCGTCACAGCCATGACTATCTTTTTTTTTTCTCTTCTATTTTCCCTTGTCGTTAGTTAGTTAGCTTACACCCTCGGAATATGAGTAAGCGCATTAAGTTCGTGCCACACTCGCTCAGCTTGAGCTAAGCAGATAGGTAATGGTACCGTCGCAACTACACTGGAGGCTTAGTACATGCTCTGGCTGCGGATCTAGAGCGGAGACGGACCTGCGCATCGCTGGGTCAACTAAGCCACTTAAAGTTCGCCTCTCAATGGATCCTCTTCTCCGCGTTCACCAGAAGGGGCCCAGTCGACTTTTATTTCAACAGAATGCTGGATAATATGGTTGGATCATGTGGATACTGTCAGGTCTTTTTCTTTTTTCGGGGCGGCGAATTGCGGCTTTTGCGGGGAAAGGCAGAACGTATCAGAAAACGACCCAGTATCCTGAAATTCGGCATCTAGAAATCCCCTTGTTGATATTGTCTGACCTAATGATGATCCCGGACACTATAATCTGCCGTCATGAATATAATTGGGGCTATTACCCTCACCGGGGGATGGGGTTCGCCATCGTTAGTCCGCCAGTCTGGTTTGCACTGCGTTGAAGCCTTTGATATATAAGAGTGGTCAAAGTGCCTTTGCAAACCGGCCTCCATCCTCATCCACCTCTCCTTCCGTGTCAGACCTTGTCATACCCCTTTCCTTGTGAAAACCTCTCTTGACGGGCAATGAATACCTTCATATGCGCTGGTGTTGCGTGTGCGTTTCTTTTCCTCATTGTTTCGAAGATCCGAGAAACCCTCTTGTCCCGATGGATGCCGAATCCAAGCCGGAAAGTAAACTGCAATGACCTCAAACCATACCCCGCTCAGCCCATCAAGGGTCGGGAGCGATATCGGGTGATGATGGATGTCCGCAGGTTGGATGTGGCAAATTGGCTCACTGTCGACAACAACTACATGGCTGAGCATGTTGTCCGGAGTCAGTTGCTGGAGAAAGAAAAGAGCAAAGTATTGCAATGCCTACCAGAGTCATACGACGCGTGCATGGAAGCATTGGAGGAGGTGGTCGACTTTCTTTGCCAGCGGTTCCCGACGGTTTTTGAACGAAAAAGGTCCGGCGACGAGTGGACCATCCACAACACGATGACAGGGGAGAATTTCACCTTTGGCGGGCAGAATAAAGAAGTCGACCCGCTTGAGGTTGCCGTGAGGTTAACGATGGAGGATTTGAGCATCCTCATGAAGAATGAGGATGATGAATACTACCTGTTAGTTAACGCGAGAGGGATACTTCATCGCATACTCGGACAGTAGCTGATCAAAAACTATAGAGCTGCCAGCGCAAGCCTTTTCCCTGTGGGATGGACGGTACAAGAACGCATTGGATGGACCATCTCCAAGCTTCATAATCCTGTACCCCTGTGGCACCAGCAAGTCGCTAACTCTGTTAGCAAGTAAGTGACCTTGTGCATAGACTGGCATATGGAATTGGAGACACTGACTTCTTGATTTCAGATTCCTCGCTCGCCTCACTCCGGAATCACCGATGGAGAGATCCAACTACTTTGTGGAAGTAAAACGACCCGACGAGGAACTGTTCGATATCCTTTATCGGCCAACTTCGTTGTCTGAAGACAATCCAAATCCTTTCCCGCAGGACATTGTGATTCGACGTGAGCGTCAGACGTTCCGTCGTTTGCCTCGGACGGGGACTATTGTGTTTGGCGTCAAGACCTTCTTGACAACACTGGAGGAGCTGCCGATGCAGGAGCTGCAAAATCTAGCCAAGGAGATTAAAAGTTGGCCCGAGTATGTGGGAGAATACAAAGGTCGAGAGGTCTGGGGACCCAAAGCACTCGAGTTCTGTGAGAAGAAAACTCGAATGATGGAGAAGCAGGAAGTTTAATGGTGAGGAAGGAAGAAACCCGAACAAACAAACCTGGAAGAACGCAAACAAGAGCATTGGTGGTCTTTTGCCATTCCCAAAGCGCATCCTTTCGTTGCATTCTATAGGGCGGCTGTTTGATGATTGCTTGCAAAAGTCACTGTCCTTCGCATTGCATCTGTACTTTTTGAGCCTGTTTTCCTTTTATCGTGGCTCTCTTTATATTCCCTTCTGTTGTCCTGATATCCGTTCTTGGGTGGGCCGGCTGTCTGCTTTCTTTTTCTTGTCTCTGGTGGTTCTACTCATTGGTATGGTAGAGAAAGGGTGGATTTGTATGATTTATGACCATTATATCACTAACCGTAATGAGAGTGGAGGATTTGTGAACGAGGTTTAACATGGAAAATAATTCCGAACAACCAGTTCCACTTGTCTAAAGCTGAGCAGCGACCGCTGCACAATAGATTGACAACGCGAGTATCAATCAGAATGATAACGAAGACAGGGAAAGAAAACGGACAGATGAACCGGTGAATTGTAACAACGATTGGGTATGCATCCATGACAAGGAGAATATAGTATACTCAAGTGACAGCTCTAATATGCGGGAAGGGTATAAAATATGTAGACGTCACATTCCTCAGATCTTCGAACGTGGGGGTTCATCCTGCTTGAGCCGTACGACACCCTGTTTCAAACCCAGCATTAGCACTGACTCCCATGATGCGGGGACATTGACCACGTAGGACAATCATACCTCTTGCGTGCATGTGGCGATTAGAATACCATCCTTGGACCAGATCTTCTGGCGAGCCAAGCCTCTTCCCTCGCCAGCCCACGGACTTTCCATCTCACAGAGCATCCATTCGTCGGCTCGGAAGGCCCAGGGGTTATGAAAGTGGATCGAGTGGTCAAGGCTAACCATCATGCCTACTTCCTTATGTTCCTCAGGGTCCTGATTTGTGGCCTTGCTCAAAGCGCCCTCCAACCGACGGCGAAGCTCCACGGGTTCCTCCTCCTTCAGCTCTTTGAGCGCACGCGCGATGTCTTCATCGTCCAAATCCGATGGGTTCTTAAGGGCCTTGAGAAGCTTCTCAAGCTCGGCCGGCGAGGAGAAGCGCGGGATATCGTGGACTCTTGACACAGTACCAATGAAATAGCTGTCGGTGATGTATGCAAGGGCGGACAAGTGGGCACGGTGGCCTCCTGCATCGGAGATTCTGCCTCGTGATCGGAAGAAGCGTCTGACCTTCTTGTCTTCCGGGGGCAAGTGACCTACAATCGTCAGCCGCAAGAACTCAAGGAGTCGCCATCATTGCGCATTGAATACAGACGGTTTACGATTCCCGCTCGGTGTGATTCGAATGGCCCGCCGCCTGACTGCTGAAGGGCACGCTTGGCGCCAGCTTCCGACTCCTCCGGAAGTGCAACAGACGGCATAGATGAGGCATGTTCCAGCTTCTTTTTTCCGCCGCTGTTGGCTTTACTGAAACTCAACGTTGTGGTGAAGATAGGTCGGCCGCGCTGCCTCGCTTGCACGGTGCGGGTAATGAAACTTCGGCCGTCACGGACTCGCTCGACGTGGTAGAGGATGGGGAGTTCGGAGTCACCGGCCAGAACGAAATAACAATGCATGCTGTGGACCGCGAAATCCTCCGGGACGGTTTGCATTGCGGCGGCAAGAGATTGGGCGATGGCGGCACCGCCGTAAATGCCTCGCGCGCCCGGAGGATGCCACAGAGGCCGCGTGTTTGTGAATACATCCTTGTGAAAGCGGTCGGAATCAGAATCGGCTTCTCCAATGGCGGGAAGTGCATTGAATGACATACGTTGCCCACGTCAACCACAGGGGTCAGCTCCAGGACGTTCTCTATCGGCGCCTTCGAGGGGTCCAGCGGCAGGGGTTCGAACAGGGTTACTGATTTGGCCATCGTGGGCGAGCACAGCCCTGGATAAACACGAATGAGGGTCGAGATTTGCTGGGAGACGCTGAGATAGAGAGAGTATCTCTTCAAGAATGAATGGAGAAAGGGGTCAGAAGGCAAGACTAACGACCACTTTTTGGAGGGGAAGTTGGAGTCTCCATTACCTAGTCCCGCCGTGCTGTTCCGCACGGTCGGTCCCAATCGGGTAATTGCCGAGGTTCCAATCTATGGATCGGACTATGAACTGATCTTCATCTAACTTAGTTGGTTATGGAGTTGTTGTTCGAGTAGGTCGTTCATAAGGCTACATCTGATCTGGTGCACTGGTAGGGATAGGCGAGTTGAGGCAGGTTGGTGTCAGCCTCGGCATAGTCTATGGAATGAATGTGACCGCCAGCTTGTCAGATGACAGATGTCGCACAGAGGACCTCAATAGGATCAACATGCTAACACTCACATACTCGGTACGTCCTGTCAAGCTTGGTGCTTGAGCTGATTCTGTGGTATACTAGCTACGCTGGCTGCGCAATAGGCTGCTGATTCGACGAGGACAAATATAAGTACTTTGAGGTCCCCAAGGCATCTAGTAGCCACTTGTTTATCACCCTAGAGCTCAGTAAAGATGATATTTCGCCATGAGGCATCTGACCCGTGCAGAAACGCCTGAAGCCAGGTGACTATGAGAAACTAGCCCAGGTGCCTGAATCGTATGAAATGGTGCTCACGGCTATAGCTGAATGCTTTCATTTTACTATGACCCAGGCGGTGTTCTCCAGTGATGACGAGGCTGAAGTCAAAGCAGATAACTACATATTAGTGATTACGGCATCTACTAAGACATTATTGAGCACGATTATGGAGCGAAAACTTTCTAAGTCTGACTTTCAAGCGCACTAATACTGACATCACAATCACTCCAAGTTACACCTTCAAGACATTAAACGATATCTCATCTGAAAAAGTTCTCCTCTCTGGGAGGAGGTATAAAAGTATCCCAGCCCTTTGCGGGGTTGACTAGATCAGGGGCCTTGACTTGAAAGGTTTTCTGATACAACCTGGACTTCCGGCTCTTTTTGGAGGAATCGGGTTCTAAGAGCCTCTGTAATTGCTGTCGCTGCATCTCTTCATCAGTCAAGTGTGGACGATCGTGGTCGTCCGCTCCAAAGACACCGGGAACGTTCCACGCGTAGGCACAGAAAGCTCCAAAGCCTGAAAGGAAAGCAAAAGCGCTAGGGAGACCCAAGCTGACAGACTCTAAGGTGCCTATTGGCAGTAGCTTTCGACAGCTGATGTTGAGCACGACGTTCAAAAGAGCGAGGAGGTTTGAACACAGGCAAGGTCTGAGAAGTGTCAGCTAGATGGCATGGAAGATCGTCAAGAAGCACTTACAGAAACAGAGAATTTAGCAGGAATTTGCGGTCATGAAACTGGAAGCAGACGACTGCGAGTGACAAAGAGTATGCAAGAGCGATGAGAACGAAAGCTGCGATCGTCGCGGTTGTCTTGTCCGCTAGGGACTCAGCCTCGTCATCCCCAAATGCCAGAGGGAGTACCAGGAACCTTCACGGATAAAAACTGATCAGCACCTTGATCGTTGCATTTCTGGATAGATGGCCAATGACACACCCTACAAGCAGTACTTGCGACGAAAATGCCGCGGAGAATTTCCAGAGCGGACTGACGGGCTGTAGCGGTATTTGTTGCTCCTGCGATGCTACAAGCAGTGCGGGAATTTGAGGAGTAGGCATTGCAGGTGATGCCCAGCCTACAGAATTCGCAGGAGTCCAGGCAGCACCGACAGAAGCTGTCATCGGTGTGAACATGGGAGTACCTTGAACGGATCACGAAAGCGAGGAGCAATCTGCGAGGAGGCAGTATATTTCTTCCAAACGGCGGTCAAAGAGCTTGAAGCAACAACATGAACAACAACAGCACCCCGCGGTATATGCGATTTACGATGCAGATAGCGAGGGAGCGAGCGATGGCAGTGCAGCTGATGGATGAATCCGAGGCGCATGGCAGCAGGGGGTAAAAAAAAAGCAACCGATGCAAGTAAAGAAATTAAAAGGGCAATTATAGAACGTGGTCACAGGGGTCGTGCATCACAATCTCTGTTATCAATTTGATCAAACTTTGAAGCCCGCGACTGATAGACTTCAGCGGGCGAATGACGTGGAGTTGAGCTGCATACTAATTTAGTGCAGCTGCTATAGCTTTAAATCTTCGGTTGTTCAGGAGTCTTCAATGTCGATCACTCTTGTATAGCTCCAATCCACGTGTCATACGAGCTGACATTCTTTATATGCCAGGGGCGGAATTTCTCTGACTTTCTCTCTCAAAGAGTTGAATTGTTATACTATGTCTGTCGACATAGTAGGATCAAAATGCCTCATAGCGCACCAAAGATGTGTGGTTTGCGAACGGGAGGAATCGTATTGGTGTGGGGGAGCTGTTCGGCCGAAGAATTTGCTCTGGCCCGAGCACTATATCAGCGACAATCGACAAGGGCCTGTCGAATTTTTGTGGTGGGCCCACCAGCTTGCAGAACCTATCTTGATTCTTGAAGTCTGAATAGGAGACAATTTGTACTTGAGGTTGAGATTCAGCTCCTCCGATATCGCTTCGCTTCTCCACCAACAATACATCTCATGAATGAACACTTCAGAACATTGAAGCATAACTTGGTGCTATCAAGAAAGGCCTCAATATCTCTTTCTTCTCAGCAGGATCGTCGCCGCGATAGCTGGCAAACCAAAAAGATCATCATCAGCCTTGCGCATTAAACCCTGTCAGCCCCTGCTCTCCTGAGGCACCACAACCCAGCACTTAGTGGTGTTTTATCTCACGGAACATGCGCTAGCTGCGCGAAATTCAAAGAGACCTGTTCCAGTCTGAAACAGCACTCGTAGGTCAGAGTGCCATATACTACATCTCACAGCATTGACAGTATCACTGATTAATATGATTTCTCTGAAGAACGCATCGCTTATGGTAAGCATAAGATCTCGTGCCTATGCCAGCGGCGAATGGCAGCGGCGTCCCATCATTCACTCAGAATGAAATACTAGGCTCCAATGAGCGCTGAAGAATATGTGCTGCAGGACGTTTCAGAAAAACGAAATAAGGCTGCTTGGCTGCGAGTCAGCATCCTCTTTCAATTCAACATTCGCTCTATGAGAGTACACCACTCCGCAAGTCTGTGTGCTTGGACATTGTGATATTGCTTGCTTTAGTCAGGTTCCATCCCATAGAGTATTGAAATGATTCGCACGGTCCTGCATAGTATCTTGCACATCTTAATGTACTGGAAAGCCATGATCTACCCTGCCATCAATTGCTTGCTGAGAGATACCTACCCGTCATGCATGACAGCGACGAACCGACGACAGTCCACGGCGAAAAGCAGAGACAAATCCGTATGTACTTCGACTAAGAAAAGTTGGTTCGGGAAACCTGCACAACCTTATGGTCGGGGACCGCACCTCAATAGACGGCCCTGCTGAAATCTCGTGCGCAAGCAACAGGACACTGAACTTCTCTCCATGCTCTGTCGAGTGGCTTGACTGGCTTCAGTTCGAAGCGCCATAGATCATGCAGATCCTCGTTATACTACTTGCTATGAGGAACCCTAAGGTTGGACTGAGTCCGAATGATGGCGGCACCAGTAGCTTCGGCTGCTAGATTCGTTTCTAATGAGCTTGATTGGCTAGCACATGCTTTTCAAAAGTCGCTACTGTGGTGGTGACTCTGTCGTTGTTAGTATGCAAAGGCATCGATCGTTCCTAGCGGCCAGTCTCAATAGATTAACTGATAGAATTCTGGTCGCACTCGAGTTTTAAATGCTCTAGCTGGCTGATAGACCGGACCCGGACTCTTTCTCTCGTTCACTTATAGCACAGCAGGCTCTACAGAGACTATTAATCTGCATCTTTTACGACAAGATAAAGTTTCGGTAATGGGTGTTATACGTACAGTAATCTATCGATCCGCTTTAGTATTGTTGAGTTGAGTTCATTGTCGAGAGGTAGAACCTGAAGGATGTAGGATTCACATGGACTATTCCATGCTGCATTGAGTGCTCGTATGTGTCAGTCAGCAGCTGTTTCAGGGATTTGAGCTGCGATGATACATGGTTGATTAGTCGGAAATGACTGGTGTCGAGCCTGCCTCTAAGAAAGCCAAAGACTACATCACCATGGTTAAGATGTGTCTGCAGAGGGCATAGTCACCAACCTGCGCCGCAACGGAAGATACTCGAGGGATAGTCGGAGAACACAATGAAGTTGAAGGAACAACAGATCGGGTGAGAGGCAGGGTCCAAAATCCAAATATAGCATCATTGATGTGTTGTGTTGAAGTCAAAGCTCGGTCGGCTTCCCGTCGACCGAAGGAGATCATGCGCCAATCACGGGCCTTGTCGGGCTGGGCATAATGATCACCTCTTTGACGGTCCAAGGAGGTCCGATGCCGGTTAGATACTGAGAATTGGTGGAAGATCGATGAGACTGTCAGCTATAATCATAATGGAGTAGACGAAAACAACGACAGAGAGGCATGGAGCAGAAAGGGAAGGTTTTCTATGTGAGGATTTATGACGAGGATTTATGATGCGGCTGATATGCCGCTGTCCAGTCGGATGCAGGAGAATGGGAGGGTGAATGCCTCAAGGCTGGCAGGGAATACTCTGCCTGACAGTAGAGTCCGTTTCCTGCCACTCGACGGGCTACATAACCTTGTTATAATAGTCGGAAATGGGATTCTATACTCGCAGATATCAAGACTGATAATCATTCAGTCAGCCTCATTATCATAACTACCAATGCCGTTATCTGCATTACTCAATGCTTTGTCCTATAAATCCCATGTGTTGACCGGGAGATCGGAGTTAACAGCGGTTCCAAGGCGCGGTGCATTGGCTGCGAAAAGTTTTCGGGTCCGCTTGCCGCTAGTCCCAAAAGCAGCGAAGTTCCGGCCATCCCTTCTTTTTCCTCAGGTTTCCTGCCCCCGTTGCCGGCCGCCTCCATTTTCTTCCTTTTCCAATCTCTGCAAAGCTTCAATTGCTTCGCTCTTCTTTCCTTCTCTTCCCCCCCACACTCCTCTCCTCCTTCCCGTTTTGTTTTTCGATAACATCCCATATACCCTTCATACATAATGTCCGCTACCGTTCCTCCCCCCGATGCGCCTACTGGCCTCGGCCTCTACTCCAGATTCGCGTTCGCTGGTGCTGTCTGCTGTTCCGTCACTCACGGAGCTCTCACTCCTGTCGATGTGTAAGTCGGCCACCGTCTCGTCTCGCCCATATCGCAATTGAACGCGCTCCTGTACCCGACCTGTGCGCGCTCGATCGATTGTCTATCCTGGGTGCCATCCGACAATGCCGTTGCTGACGTCCTTTCTTCGTGTGCCACAGCGTCAAGACCAGAATCCAGCTTGACCCCGTCACCTACAACCGTGGTATGATCGGTGGTTTCAAGCAGGTCGTTGCCAACGAGGGTGCTGGCGCTCTCCTCACTGGTTTCGGTCCCACTGCTGCCGGTTATTTCCTCCAGGGTGCTTTCAAGTTCGGTGGTTACGAGTTCTTCAAGCAGCAGTGGATCAACCAGCTCGGCATTGAGTCTGCCACCAACAACCGCACCGCTGTCTACCTTGCTTCGTCTGCCACCGCCGAGTTCTTCGCTGATATCGCCCTGTGCCCTCTTGAGGCCACCCGTATTCGTCTCGTCTCCCAGCCTACCTTCGCTTCCGGTCTCATGAGCGGTTTCGGTAAGATCCTCAAGAACGAGGGTGTCGGTGCTTTCTACTCTGGTTTCGGTCCTATGCTCTTCAAGCAGTATGTCTCTCCCGGAATCTTTCATCTAGTCGTAAGGTTTTTGCGCCGTCGCTAACTCCCCGCCAGGGTTCCCTACACTATGGCCAAGTTCGTCGTTTTCGAGAAGGCCGTTGAGGCTGTGTACGGCTTCGTTGACAAGAACTCTGTCTCCGACGGTGCTAAGACTGGTATCAACCTTGGCTCTGGTCTCATTGCTGGTTTCGCTGCCGCCATCGTCTCCCAGCCCGCCGACACTATGCTCTCCAAGATCAACAAGACCCCCGGTGAGCCCGGTGAGGGTACCGTCTCCCGCCTGATTAAGATCGGTAAGGAGCTTGGTCTCCGTGGCTCCTACGCCGGTATTGGTGCTCGTCTCTTCATGGTGAGTTTTGTCTCAGAAGTCTGGCTCTTCATGTCTTGGGTCTGGAAAGCTAATTATCTGTTTAGGTTGGTACCATCACCGCTGGTCAGTTCGCCATCTACGGTGACATCAAGCGTGTCCTCGGTGCCACTGGTGGTGTTGAGATCGGCAAATAGATGTCGGAATGTACTATTACTTGATTCTGTTAGACCTTCAATTTTGATACAATGCATATATATTAGATTAGAGGTTAAACTCGACTCTTGGAGGTTAGATCCCGGCGCAACTACCGTACGAGTCATGCTTGCTAGTGGGAGGCCACCCTGTACCGGCTTCAGAATCTTACGACGGTACTTAAGACATTGTAAGTCGCGGTCGAATCCAAACGTTAAGGAACTTCACGTGTGTCGATGAGGTAATCGTGCAAATGTACATCAACTTCTTCAATGCAAGAGCGGAGTGTCAAGGCATCTGTAGTCATTCATAATGCTCAAATTAATACAAGTCTGACATGTTTGGTCCTTGTATGACGATCTAGCGACTGTCCGTCCAGAGCTCACAGCTGCCCCCCTGCCATGTTTAACCTTCGAGGTGGGACGACGAGAGTTTCGGTGGCTGGCTTATTTTTGCTGTAGCGAAGATGACGTGCGCCCCTGTACATGAGTCTGATCGTGCATGGGCGTTAATGTTGTTGATGGGCAAGGCATCGAGATTGATAGGGGATCTGCTCTCTGCGAGGGACTGATACGCTCCTGTGCCGGTGAGATGGCAATGCATATCCACGATCTCGTTTGCATGAGATGCCCCACCGCAGCAAGAGAAGGTGTCGAATTCGACTTGCTTCAGCTGGAGGTTAGCAACCATGAGTCCTCAGCCGGGGTCTCTAAAGCTCTATCGCATTGAGCGTGTAGTCTGACCCAGGGAACGTAGCGAAGCTATTTTGATGTGTCCCTTCACAGCGCTTGACATCTTGGTGTATCTCTATGAGCTGCAGCTAGCCAGTAGCATTCGTCGAATCGTTGTTGGGGTTCTTTGCTTGTCATCAGCAGTATAGCTCATTGCAAATGCCCTACAGTTCTAGTGCCCGATCTGAACTGTGCTCAGGTAAAGGTTTTGGCGTCTGAGACGCAACTCTCCAAGAGCACTATGTGTAGATTGACCGTGATTGTGTTTGAGCCTACCGAGTACTCCGTAGAGCTATGGTCAATTTGCCAATCTGGGATGCTGAAGGCCAGCCAGAGACCTCGGGCTTTTGGTGGTCCTGAGGTAGAGGATGCACGTTGAAACCACTTTTCAATTCAATTGAAGGTGTACACAACACCGTTCACCGTCTGGTATTTAGCGTCGAGCTGTCATCTTTGCTGAGTAGAGCCCTGTTCCCCTCTAATGCTGTGTGCCCTGCCTCATGGTTCGGTTTCTATTGATAAGGCGACTGTCGATCTGGTTTTAGTCCAATTATGGTTAGCGCAGTAACTCCACTGTATCCGCTTTGGTGCCTGAGGATTGCCGCTCTCCCTCCGCCGGCCCCCCCCTCGAATCTGTGCTTGTGCCTGGCCATCATCGTTAATTGATAATCGACCCATCCATCATCCAGTTCAGCCATGCTCTGACTCCCCCCATCGCTCACCATGTTGAGTCAACTCTCGGGGCTCGCTCGAGCCCTGCCCTTCGTTCTTCTTCTATTCACAATCACTGTAGCCTCTGAGCATACGTCGAACTGGGCTGTCCTCGTCTCTACCTCTCGCTTCTGGTTCAACTATCGTCACCTCGCCAATGTCCTCTCCCTTTATCGAACCGTCAAGCGGCTGGGTATCCCGGACTCGCAGATTATCCTGATGTTGCCCGATGACATGGCTTGCAACCCGCGCAATGCTTTCCCCGGAACCGTCTACAGCAACGCCGACCGTGCAGTCGACCTGTACGGCGACAACATCGAAGTCGACTACCGAGGTTACGAAGTCACCGTAGAGAACTTCATCCGTCTCTTGACCGACCGCCTGGACGAAGACGTGCCCCGGAGTAAGCGGTTGGGGTCCGATGCAGGAAGCAATGTTCTGGTATACATGACCGGCCACGGAGGCGACCAGTTCCTGAAGTTCCAGGACTCCGAGGAAATTGGGGCTTGGGATCTGGCCGATGCCTTTGGTCAGATGTGGGAGAAGAAGCGATATCACGAGCTCCTGTTCATGATCGATACCTGCCAGGCCAACACCATGTACACGCACTTCTACTCGCCTAACATCATCGCCACCGGGTCGAGCGCACTCGACCAGTCCTCGTACTCGCATCACGCCGACAGCGACGTCGGAGTAGCGGTTATTGATCGATGGACATACTACGTGTTGGAGTTCCTGGAGACGCAGGTGACAAGTGCGAACTCGAAACAGACCCTGGGCGATCTCTTCGATTCCTACGACGAGTCCAAAATCCATTCGCAGCCGGGAGTGCGGTGGGATCTTTTCCCCGGTGGTGAGCAGGAGGGCCGTCTACGGACGGTCGTGGACTTCTTTGGGAATGTCCAGAATGTCGAGGTCGAGAATGTTAATGCTACAGAGCCGGGCTCGCTCAAGGAGGATCTCATTGAGATCGCTCGGCTGGTGAACAGATGGCGCACCCACGACCGGGACATGTTCGCGGGGCATAATGAGTCGCTTCCGCAGGATGGGGCAGGAACAACTTCATCCCCAGAGTCTAATGTGCATCAACCGTCGCCTCCGCATCACACAGTCAAGATGAAGGTCGGACCCGCAAGAATGACCGAGGAGTCAACATGGGAGAAGCGTCTCACCGGAGTGACTGTGCTTGGTGCATGCGCCGCTGTCTGGATTGGCGGCTCAATTCTAGGCGTGACATCCGCTTGAATATGACGATTGTATAGCGTGTAAATTTGTTTCTTTGTGCTTAGTTCCAATATACCTAGACTCGTTCATGGTTGATCCTTTGCTATCACGAAGCGGTTTGTTCGACACTGTTGTTGCCAACCCAGAGGCTGACAATTGTTCATAGTGTATCATATGATAGAACGAGATCCTAGAAGCAACAGTGCCAATGGCTTTCGCTCTACAAGCAATAGTTGGAAGCAGAAAGCAGGAGATTTGCGCCCGAGTATGATATCATCATTTTAGACCAAACCCAGTCAGAATACTGTAATTATTCCGTACTTTTAGTCACTCAAGTAGTTAAGGTCCTCTGTATTATTCAATCAGGGGCAACACCGGGATCGGATATCAAGATGAACAATAGCATGGTACTACAAGACTCGAAACCACTGAGCAGGAAAAGAGAGAAATAACGTTGCCATCCCTTCAATTCCTCGCAGCACCAGCAACCGAACACATACCAATGAAGAAGTGGATTTTGGCAACCGTTGACCGAATCCAATGAATCCGAAAGAAGAAAAACCGGGCTTGGCGGAAACCTCGACGAGCTCCGCACGTGCCAGACGCGTCGTCGTTGTCGGGCCCTGGAGAGATGCGCGCGACGGGAAAACCGATTATTACCTCCATCGTTACTTGCGCCTCTGCCCTACCACCGTCGCCCTGTCCTCTTTGCTTCACTCTCAATTCCCCCTCCCAAAACAAAATTTACGCCCCCTCTAAAAACAATGGAGTCCTTATCCGTTTAGAGATAATTGTTATTTCGGGAAGAAGATTGTTCTGTCTCCCCTCCCTGCCATTGTTAACCCGACCAATTTCTATACACCCACATCACATTCACCCCCGGAGTCGAGGTTTGTGGAAGGGTGGTCCTTGCTGCTGCTGCTGCTGCTGCTGCTCTTATTATTTCCTCGTCCTTCTTCCTCCTTTCCTTCACATCTCGAACAGAAAACGGAAAAGAATATCGTTAACCCGGCGTACGCGCCTACGCGCGCGAAAATCCCCTTCTATAACCACCTGAACCTTGAACCTAAGAAAACGAACGCCGGTCCGCCGCCCCCTCCAAACGGACCCGTGCTCTTCCACGTCGAGCATAAGAGAGAGAGAGAGTAGTACGGCGCGGGGTTGGGGTCTTACGCGCCTGTCCTTTCATTTTAGTATCCGGACGCCATGTATCTCCCTCGTCAACTCATTTCACATCTATACCTCCAACTACTTCGCTCACATCACCCGTTATCCCCACCGGTGCTGATACTTGTCGCCCTCGAACCCGATGCACTCTGTGCCTGCCGGATCCTGACCGCCCTACTGAAACGCGACTACATCCCCCACAAGATCCAACCCGTGGCCGGATATGGCGATCTCGCGCGCGCTGGGGAGGAGCTGGTCAAGCCTATGCGGACGACGAATGGCGGGAGTGGAGGAGTCGTCATCTGTCTCGGGGTGGGTGGTTTGGTGGATCTGACTGAGATCTTGTGTCTGAGCAGTCCGGAGGACGACAATGACAATGATAACAATGATGACGGCGAGGGAGGAGGGCAACAGGACATGGGTGGGGTGGAGGTCTGGGTGTTTGACGCGAGACGGCCGTGGAATTTGTCGAATGTGTTTGGTGGGGAGGCTGTCGCTGCTGCTGCTGCTGCTGGCGCTGGTGGTATGGCAGACATGACTGTCGGCAATGGGAGGCGGAAACCGCGCGGGGTGGACCGAGGGTGTATCACGCAGGGGTACACGTCGGGCAACGGGGGCATTGTGGTTTACGACGATGGGGACATCGAAGAGGAGCTGGGAAAGGAGAGAGAGGCGTACTGTGAGTTGATGGCTATGCCGGAAGTGGAGGAGGAAGCGAGCGATTACGACGACCTGGATGCGGACGATTTGGAAAGCGACGGTGAAGCCGACCCCCTTTCGAGCTCTGACTCGAAGAAGCGGAAATCGTGGTCGCGTCAGGACGATGAGGATGAATCAGACGAGAACGACGGCCCGCCTCGTCAACGCAGGAGAAGTGATTCGGTATGTATTGGCACTCTTATGTGCGAGGCTGTACTATGGTTTGTTGCTTGAGGCTAACTAGGCCGTCTTGTGCAGGGTTCGTATATTATTTCCTCTCCAAGTCGCCCCCGGAGGATGGGGCATGATTCCTCCAACTCCTCACGCTCCGTTACGCCAACGTCAGACTCACCGTCCCCGCTACATCCTAAACAGCCCTCGGAACGGACCTTGAGGCGTCGATTGCTCCGCATGAGAAGGAAATACGAGGGCTTACTGCAACAATACTATAATTCCGGCACGTCATATTCGGAGCCGATATCGTCCCTGGTCTATTCACTTGCATCCGAGCTTGGTCGAGAAGACAATGATCTACTGTGGCTGGCCATTGTAGGTGTGTCAAGCTTGGAACTTAGCGGCCGCACGATGTCGGGTGTGGGTGTTTCCAATGCGCTGGAGTACGGTGGCTCAGCTGGTTGGGGCGGAGAACGGGGTGAACGAATACGGCAAATACTACGTGATGAAGTCCATCGATTAAACCCTCCAGATCCCCACGAGCGCGATATCAGAGGCGAGATCAACGGCGTCATCCCGACCACCGCCCGATCACCGACGGACAAGTCAATTCGGCTCTCCCCAGAACCTCGGTTTATCCTAATACGACACTGGTCGCTCTACGACAGCATGCTCCATAGCCCGTACCTGGCATCCCGACTCCATGTCTGGACGGAGAATGGCCGGAAGCGATTACACAAACTGCTCGCGAAAATGGGCATCAGTCTCAACCAAAGTCACCAAAACTATACGCATATGGACATGGAACTGAAGCGAGTATTACGACAGCGTCTGCTCAAATATGCACCGATGTACGGCCTCGATGGGCTTGTTCCGCCCGAAGCGTCTGGCCATGCTGCATCTCGCGAGGGCTGGGGCTTTGTCCGCTGCTGGGGCTGGAAAGCTTGCCTTTCTGCCACCGACGTGGGCGTCATCATTGGTGCCATTCTTGAGGTGGGCCCGGAGGCTCCTGGCGCTTGGGATGCAAAACGGCTTGCAAAGCCTGCACTGGAGGCCGATGCCGACGGAACCACCGAGTCTGACCTGTCTAGTCTTCTTCCACGGTTCTGGAGCGCTTACGACGCGCTGTCGCTGACATCAGAGTCCCCGACGTTGCTGCTTGGCTCGCTTCCTCTCGCACAACATCTCCACCGCGCCATTCTTCGGACTGGCACATCCTTATTGGCCAAGCATCAAATCCGGCACCTGCGCGCGTTCCGCATCGCCGTCGTCAAGGAAGGTCCAGATCTCAAGCTGTTCACCAACCCTGGAGCGCTGACGAAGTTGGCTCTCTGGGTTGCAGAGGCCATCCGCGTGCAGGAACGAGAACGGGCGGATACCGTCAAGATTGGCCGTCGACGAGCTGTTGGTACTCCGCTGGTTCTTGCGGGATTGGATGAGGATCGAGGTCTTTATGTGGTCGTGGGCACAGGAGGCGGGGGAGGCGTTGTCGATTTTGCTGCTCTGACCAAACGTCGCGAGGAGCGACGACGGAAGAAGGAGGCCAAGGAGAAGAAGGCGAAAGAGCGAGAACAGCGTCGAGCCAAACGGGCGGCGGAGCGTGCAGCCAGAGAGGATGACGAGGAGGACGATGATGAGGAAACGGAAGAGTCCTCCTCAGAATCCGAGTCCGAGTCTGAGGACGAGCAGGAGCTGCGCGGCAATAAGTACCTGCTGCGGAATCGGTTCGGGATCGCTTTCCAGGAAGTGGTTCAAGAGACCAGCGCCCGCGTTCGCATCGACAGTTTCGAGCACTGCGTGGTTGAGGTCCAGAAGGAGGACTTAGGAGGCTTTCTCGAAGCTCTCAGCTTCCGCAGTGTTGTGGGCTAGCAGCTGCGACAGGCCAAGGTTATAGATTTATGCTACGATACTGCTCTTTCCCTACTATCCCATGCTTGATACCGATTTTGAGGTGCTCGCTGACACACCATTCTCTGATTCCCTAGTCATATCTCAGGCGATAATCTGATTTCTTAAACTTCTGTTTCACGCGCGATGCAGGTTCGAGGAGTGCCGGAGATTATTTTTCTTTTCTGCTTGGATTGTTTTGAGAAGACATAAAAGGAGGACATGCATAATGACGGGTTGATAACCATCTCTGCAATCATTCATTTCTTTTTCCTTTCTTTCCCTTGTGTTTGAGCATTGTGACTCTTCTTGTTGTGGGTATTGGCCCTTTTGGATATAGCTGCATTCTGTCACCGATTGCATTGCTTTGCTTGCACTCAGAAGGATTGATCTGCATCTCCGCACATGTCATGGCGCTTGTGGTGTTTTGAGTGAATTGGTTGCTGGCGGTTCTTGAAGTCCTGCACTTCCACTTATTCTTTCTCTTGTGCATAGCAGCATATAACATGCAAGATATGAGATTCTCGTGTGACGCGCTCTGGCTCGGCTTTGTGTCCGAGTTTCCCCTCCCCCGCATCGACTTGTCCCCACATCGTCTCTCGTCTTTCCATCCCATTTCTTGTGCTGTGTCCTTGACCACAACAAAGAAAGACACCATGCTTTATTCCTCAAATTATGCCAAATAGGTTTCAACTCCATCATGGCAAGCATTCGCAGCTACCCAGTTCTCTCCCGTCGAAGCACTCTGGCTTCCTTACCCCCAGAGTCTACCATTGACGCTCAAGCCCAGATTGCGCGGCTTCTCGCAACCACCTCTCCCAGCCGTCTCGTCGTGCTGGACGACGACCCCACCGGCACGCAAACCTGCCATGACGTCGCCGTCCTCACCGTCTGGGATATTGATACCCTCGTCCACGAGTTCCGCCAGCCCTCCCGCGGGTTCTTCATCCTAACCAATTCGCGCGCCTTCCCCGCCAGCGAAGCGGAACCCCTGATCCGCACCATCTGCGCCAACGTCGCCGAAGCAGCCCGACGTACCGATCAAAGCGTGGACATTGTACTCCGCGGTGACAGCACTCTGCGCGGCCACTTCCCCCTGGAAGCCGACGTCGCACAATCCGTGTTCGGCCCCGCCGCAGCCATCATCCTAGCGCCCTTCTTCTTCCAAGGCGGCCGCTTCACCATCGATGATGTGCACTACGTCGTCGATGGCGAGGACGCTCTCGTCCCGGCGGGCGACACCCCATTCGCACGGGATGCCACCTTCGGATTCCAGAGCTCCAATCTCCGGGACTACGTGATGGAGAAAGCCGGCCCCGGCCGGTTCACGCCGCCGGAAATCCATTCGATCACGATCGAGGACATCCGTCTAGGCGGGCAGGAAGTGGTCTGCGAGAAGATCCTGCGCATCCCGGAGGGCCACGTGGTGATTGTGAACGCAGCGGCGGAGTCGGATATGCATGTTTTTGTTGCAGGGTTACTCTTGGGTCTGTTCACCTCCCATTTCATCCTTCTCCCTACCTCAACCAACCCACCCACAAACCTCTTACGTGAAGTCCTCAACAACAGCCAAATCCCACTCCCCATCCGGCACAAAGCAAAAGCAATACCTCCACCGCACCGCCGCCTCGTTCGTCTCCACCCGTCTCGCCATCCCCACTCTCCCCCCACTAACAGCAACCGCCCTGGGCCTCTGCCCGCGAACTCCCACTACCGACAGCAACAGCAACAGTAACAGCAATAGTCCAGGCGCCTTCATCCTCGCAGGCTCCTACGTCCCCAAAACCACCGCGCAACTGAACTGTCTAACCACCCGCCACGGCCCCAATGGCACAAACTCCCTCGCCATCCTCACCCTTGACGTCCCCGCCCTTCTCCACTCTTACACCGATCCTGATCTGCACACAAAAACAATCGCATCTCTCATCCACGAAGCCCAAACCTCCCTCCTAGCCGGGAAGGACACCCTCGTAATGACAAGCCGGGACCTCGTAACCAGCCCCAACACCGGCGGGCAGCAGCAGCAGCAGCAGCAGCAGCAGGAGCAAGAGGAGGAGAATCCCAATCTCAATCTCCAAATCGGCAGCCGCGTAGCCGGGGCAATGGTCGAGGTGCTGAGGGGGGTGGTGCAGCGGGTCAGGCCGAGGTACATAATTGCTAAGGTGAGTTTCAATTCCTTTCCCGCACATTAAATGCCGCCGTTTTGGGGGGTCATAGTAGTGCCTTTGTGGAAGAGGAAATCATCAGGTTGAATGGGCGCGGGGGGTGTGTGGGGGGGGGGGGGGGGGGGTGGAAAGCTTCTTCGGTGCTTGCCCCTTGGGTTTCGTGTCGGGTTGTGGATGGATTGCTCCAGTAAAGAGACGAAGGGACGAATGGACGAAGGCTAATACTCTCTCTCTCTCTCTCTGTTGGTGTCTAGGGCGGCATCACGTCTTCCGATGCGGCGACGAAAGGACTCGGAATCAAACGCGCCATGGTGGTGGGGCAGGCGGCGCCGGGGGTGCCGGTGTGGCGCTGTAATGAGCCTACCTCGCGACATGCGGGGATTCCGTTTGTTGTGTTTCCGGGGAATGTTGGTGGGGAGGAGACGTTGTCTGACTTGGTTGAGGCGTGGAGTTGACCAACCATTTCCACTAAGGTACATCAAGGCCAAGGGCGGATGCCGACTATTTACAGCACACAAGTACTATCCTAGAAGCTTGGAGACAAAACCGAGTGAATAAACATCATCGAACCAAAAGAATACGGTAGGACGTGGATGACTTAAAGGTGGCCCCATGGCCACGGAATGTGTAGCTTTATTCGACTAGACCTAACCGGCAGATACACCAGCACCTAAGTCAAAGCATGGCAAGATATTATGTACAGCGGGTAACCGGTAGTTCCTGAAAAAGCAGCTCCAAATGATTTTCCTGCACCCTTACGGCCATTGAGTCACGGGAGCATAGCTGTCCCAGCTCTTACGACAAATACAAACCGGCGGCGCCTCGTTCAAGCGAGGCATGACCATCTGTAGTATGCCACTGGCTGGCTGGGATCATGGGGGAATACGGAGTGAAGACTGGAAGCAGCGCAACGAAAGACGATTAGGGCAGAGAAGTGTAGAAAAGACCAACCTTGGAAATGGTGCCGGAAGGCGTCGAGTTCATCGCAACGCAAGCAATTTGGATACCAGATCCATTGTTTACTCGGTCAGACTCGGCTGTGATTATGATTTCATCAATGCTTTTTCGTCCAGAGCAAGGGAACGGCTAGACTCGAACCCATATACCGTTCTTTGCATACCGGCCTTTGGCTTGTGTTTTCGTGGGGAGCTGGCCCCGATGGGATTGTGTGTTGTCGGATGCTCGGAACCACGCCTCATGCGGGCGTAGTTGCACTGCTAGTCACTCCATTGGGGACACCGTTGGATGTGACCTGGCGCTTGGCAGCCGGTTGGGAGGCGTCCTGTGAATTTAGTTGATATCAGTTATATCCAGACATCGGATCCGACAAGTTTCACACGATACGCGAAGATGCGCATTGCTTAATGTGGACTAGCGCCGCTTCGTAGTATACTTTGACTATCTTGTTTGCACTTACGTCCAATGATTCGATGCTCCGCTTGTGGCCGCTCATGTCGGTCCTCTTGATGACCTTCTTCTTCGGGCGGAGAGGCTTCTTCTCTCCAGCCTGGAAAACATCGTCGGGCAAGTCGAAGCTGTTGTAGTGATCATCAGCACAAGCCTTGCGCGTATGGCGTTTTGAATACCCACTTGCGAACATGTGTGATCGCCACATCCATGACTCCAGGCTGGTATCCGGGCCAAGAGGTGCAAAGAGATTTGAAAAGCTGGGCATCAGAGGAGATGTCCAACGACCGTGAGGCACCTTATGATGTTAGCGAGTTCAAACGAGAGGCGCGACTCACATACCTGGTTCGAGTGGTTTCAGCTCCAGGCCAATATAGTATGTTGCCGTATACATGACCCGAGTGTCCTCTGCCGCTTTCTGCTCCGCGGCTGGAACCTCTTTGTTTTCCGCACCGTTTTGCGCAGCGGCCTCGTGGGCCGCATCCTTCGTCTCATCGGTGGTCTCGGTTTTGATGTCCCTATCTTGATATTTAGTAGAGCCAATCTTGACTGCCTCGATTTCCTCTTCAGAAGAAACTTTATGCACCCTCTCAAAACCTTTGGGAAATGGATGTGCGACGGCGATTGTGGCCTTCCTATCAAGGGCACCGACGAGATGGCGAATTTTTGACTCCACAAGACCCGACCACACTGACTCTGCTTCCTTGGTTCTACTAGACGCCGTGATGCTGAGATAATACTTGTAATCCTGCGTGAAGAACGTGTGCCGTTTGAACAAATCACTCCAGTTGAGCTGTTTCATGAAAATTTTGTCCACTATGTCGCCACCTCTCTGTAATTCGCGCAAAATAACAGTTTTAGTCGACACAGAAACGTTGTGAGTAGCGCACATGGAGGGATACGCAGGTGTAATGATGGGCATTAAATGAAATCGATCACCGGTGTAAATCTTGAGTCATATTAGTCACCTTGCCTATAACTCAACCTGGACATGCGCAGCGAGCTTACCTTCGGATTCCACACTTTCATTTGCAGGGGGCCATCTTCAATAGGCTTCAATAAGACAGGCTGGGGCCAGGCCCACTTAGTCATGATTCGAAAGAACTTGCCGACGATCACAGACCCCGTGGCCTGAGGGTAGAGTTGACAGACTCTGGCGACAAGCATTGCCCAAGCAACACCACCGGGGAACCCCACAACATTAGCGTATATGGCTCGTTCTAGTTGAGTAAAAGTGTCAGCGCAAAAGCAGCAGTATAATCTGGAAATAGTAGACACTCACGCTGTGCCCAGAGCTTAATGGCACGCAAGGCCAGCCGGAATGTTTTTTGCTGAGGTACGAGCTCCAGAATCTGGTCAGTCACACGAGTACCGTTGAGCGACCGGACTTCCTTCTCATCCAAGCCTCGCAGATAGTCATTGTTCTTCAAGTCGAGACTCATAGGCACGGATGGCACAATCAAGCGTGCGAAGATCAGATCGATACTAATGCCGGATAGTTCCATTTTGATGATTGGGACAAACGCGTCGGGGACTGGTGTCATTTTCTCGATTGCTCCCGCTGGAGCCATCCTTTCAAGCACGGGGGGAAAATCAGCGAAGAAGTCGTCGATGATGACATGCTTGGGCCCGACGACCAGCGTATCAATATCCGATCCTATCAGCAACTTGTATCAGAATACCAATCATGATGATGCCAGAATAGTGTTTCCAGGCTCACCCGGTCCATAGACTCCAAGACGGTAACTGCCGTACGTGAGAACCTTGCCACCAGCTGCCTCCACGGCGGCGGGAGAGAGACCCTTCTTGCGGCTAACAACTTTAACGAACTCAATGGCGACACGCTGCAGGAGTTGAAGGACTTGTTGTCTTGATTGTATGAACGAAATCAGCATCTGTCTCGAACCATCTCAGCAGACTTGCTATGCTCTCACCTGCGTTCGGTCTCTGCAGGACTTTCGAAATTATTCTGCGCCTTCAGCTCGGAGATCAAATCATCGTTGGCGGCAAGCTCATCAGGTGTAGGAAGAGCAGTGGAAATTGGCGGAGTGACTCCCCACTGTCTGGCTGGTGGTGCTGTCATGTTGACTCTTTTGACTGTCAGATGCTACAGGGTAATGCGGTTGCGCCGACTAGGCGCTGGAAGGCAGCGACTAAATACGGAGGCGACGCGAAATTGAAGGAGCGACTCGGAATACCTTGAAACTGGGGAATGACTGATTATGATGAAGAGAATATTTTGACCGTGATAATGGCACTACGAGAAAAGGATGACTGAAAGAGAAAGTAAGGAAGAAGTGACTGAAAATATAACAAGTGCTTTGATCGTTCTGGAGTTGGAAATGAGGAGACGCTCGAAGGTTTATCGGGTCCTCCAGAGCAGCGGCTGATTCAGCATTCCAGCCACATCACGTGTTACGAACGATGATTGCGGGAAAGGACAACCTCGTTCGAGTCACTATCTGGTCCAAACAGTGTGTGCAGTTAATGAGTATGTAAGACTACAAGGACGATATGGCAACGACTATATGACAACGAGGACCTTGGTACCCTGTAGTACTTATTGAATCAGTGACGTCTTGATTTATGTATCACAAGATCGGAGCGGGATGCGCGCAGCAGTCCTTTGTATCTATTCGAGGCAACCAATCAGAGAACATAGCTCATTGAACATCAGAAGTTTGGCTACGGTTCATGGAACGCAGTATAATGTACTGTACTTATACCAATCTTGGTCATCAGTCTTCTGCCTGCAGTCATCCCAAGTTCACAGCCTTGAGTCTCTCTTCCACTTTCTCTCCAATCGAGGAGGATCCCGCTTCGAAAAAATCACTCAATTTCTTATCCAACCAAGCAACATCATGCTTGCTCAATCCCGGGCCACCGGCCCAATCTATTAGGTTATGCGTTAGTCTACATGGTCTTGCAAAACCACGGGAAAGAACTTACGACCCCAGATGGAAGGGAAGATGGCGAGTGTCGCAACGCCCGGTGCCATGCAGGCAACCTCATACTCTGAGTCCTCGGGCCTATGCGGCTCATAAGCTTCTATCCCACAAGAAGATCTCACCCACAGCATGACACACTTACGGGAAGTAAAGGTCAGTTTTTCCAGGCAGTACCAAGGCCTTCGCCTTGATTGAAGCCATGGCCTTTTCGAAATCACCATTGTATGGCTCCTGGTTTGCCACATTACCGTTCTGCCATGTTTGCAGCATAGTGAGAAGGTTGGCTGGGTCTAATACGAGGGCCATATCAACACATGTTAGTCCATGTATGCATTTGCACTTAGCAGGCCTGACCTTTTGAAAGCGCCCAGCTTTCATGGAAATTCACCATGAAGTCCTCGAGATCTTTGTATCCAAGAACAGACTCGAATAACTTTTCTCGGTAAAATGCCTGTGAGAAGCCCCTTTCGTCCAAGCGGCATGTTAGAACAATCTCGGCCTCTAGGCGGAATAAAGGTTTCATATCATTCTCACCAACCAGCATAAGCCCTGCCAAAAGCCTTAAGTCCGATCTCTTTCTCTTTGTCGCTCCAGATCCTATCAGATTGGCCGGCTTCAAGAACACCAGCATTGCCAGATCCTGCTGAACGGATGTGTTTCGCCGCCAGCAATGCGCTTTTAACTCCTTCGAGAAAAACCTGGTTATGAGGCGAGGTCCTGGCCGAGCCGCAGAATGGCACGATCAGATCCATGAAGTCGGGATACTGTGTCGCCCATTGGTAGCTTTGAGCGGCTCCCATTGACCACCCGAGCACTGCGTGTAAATGAGTGATGCCTAGATGCTGAGTCACTAATGTATACTGAGCGCGAACATTGTCGTAGAAGGAGCATCTTGGAAACGGTCCTTCGATAGGGTAATTAGATGGCGATGTTGACTCGCCGTTGCCAAAGAGCGCGGGTATGATGATAAAGTACTTGTTAGGATTGAGGGTCTTGTCTTCTCCAATCAACCAAAAGTTCTCGGACATCACTATGAAAAGGGCAGCGTGAGTGCACTGTTTCGTCGTTGAGACGCGATATGCGGCACATACAGCCTGAGAACCAGGAGGGGTAAACAATGGCGGGCGACTTCGGATCTCCAAAGGTTGTATATGCTATGTGGGCATCAACAAGTTTTTCGCCGCTCTGGAGCTCCCAATCGCCCAGCTTGAAAATCTCATAACCGTTCTTCGTCATTGTATCGAGTCAAAAGGTGATATTATAGACTTGCTCGTAGAAGAATCACTTCTTGTGCGGCGTGTCTGGTTGTAGTGGAGTTAGAGTGTCACGACACACAAGATGGGGAGGAATGAGGGGTCAATAAACCTTGTCCTTCCTTGTCTTCTTATCGAGACACCTGAGACACCTCTTTCAAAACATGGAAGATGTGTCCTAATGGGCAACTTATTTCCCTTAACCTGTCATTGGCTTGGATGATTGGCTTGGATGATTTCGTGATAAGCTTAAATGGGATTCTTACAGATCCTTCTATAAGTCCACGGTTACCGGTGCCTCAAGACCCTCTTACGACTATATTTCTGGTTGCATCACTTTACGAGACAATCGATGGTTGTTGCCCTCATGGATACTGCCACCTAGAATGAGAACCTACTGCTATCTTCTTGCCCGCTAGGCAGTCCGATTGACGATGCTTGGGAACGATGAAGGACATGGATATCGCCAGCCTCAGAGAACAACCAGGCCATAGCTTCAAGTTCTTGGAGATCCCTTTAAAGATGCGGTCCAGTTCGACTGCTGATAAGCGTGTGCCAGTTCTCCCCCGTTGCCCGCCCGCCGCGGGGTTGTTCCGGGCGCTTAGAAACGGGATGCGGCACGGATCACTTATCGGTAGTAGGGCCTTAATGCCACGCGATGTTTTCGCTCAACTTTTCGTGGTGAGAGTGGGGATAAGAGCAAAATCTTGAGACGTCACTGTGGAATTATACCTCGGTCACCTTAGCAGGGCAACCACTCTCCTCCTGAACTCCCGTTAATCCTCAGGCTGCCAACATTCAATCCCCGCAGACTCAATGTACCACCGTCTCTCATCGAACACATTGCGCCACACTCTGCAGCCTAAGCATACTTTTATGTGAGACTATATCCCATCATTACCCCTCCAATCATGGTACTGCGACGCTCTCCAATGAGCCCCGATGCCGGTGTTTCAGCACCAACAGTTGGCTTTACTGACGCATTGCTAGAATCCCAAGGATAACTCCCCGTACTTATCTCCAACGACCTGGTCTTTCTCGGCCCTTTTACCAATCGTCGACGATGTCCAAAGCTCACGATGACTTCGACAAAGTCCAGGCCTCCCGGCCAGATTTCAACCGGGACATCCCTGTCACTTATTCGAAGTCTCCCAAGCCCGACTGGAAGCAGGGAGAGGGAGGCAACGATGGAGGGGAGAGCTTGAAGAAGAACCATGTGCAAATCGACCCTTACGAGGAAGGGCGCCCTGTAACTTCCAATTACAAGCTTCTCATCTCGGGAATGGTTCCCAGACCGATCGCGCTCATCAGCACGAAGTCCAAGGATGGCAAAACCGCCAACCTGGCCCCATTCAGTTACTCCCAGGTCATCAACCATGATCCTCCGCTCCTCGTTGTGGGTTTCGTTGGCTCTCTTGACAAAGCGAAAGATACACTAAAGAACCTGGCGGAGACCGGGGAATGTGTGATCAATATCATCTCGGAGCACTTCGTTGAGGCAGCGAATGCGACCTGCATTAACGCACCCTATGGTGTATCGGAATGGGAGATCTCGGGATTACACCAAGAGCCCAGCGCCGTTGTTAACCCAGCACGGGTCAAAGAATCCATCATGTCCATCGAGGGGAAACTAGTCGAGACCAAGGAATTCGAAAGCAGAACAACTCCCGGCAAGACGTCTAGCGTCCTCGCAATTATTGAAGGTGTCCGGTTCTGGGTTCGAGATGATGCGATCAATGAGGATAAGAGCATTGTCGACCTTAAGGTCCTCAAGCCGATCAGTCGCTTGGGCGGAATCTCATACGGGCGGACTACCGATGCTTTTGAGATTCCCAGGCCGCAATTTTAATGATATGGCAACGTTTGGTGATGTAAGAGAGGGCGTAGGCCTTCCGTGTCAAGACTGTAGTCTTTTGGAAGCAGGAGGTGCGGTAGAATAATAGATAGAACCCTTTGGGATAAAGAGGACATGGAAATTCGAAGTTACTGTTGAAAGATTAATCTTTCTGTTCCTCTATTAGACTAGGGGTCGAATTTAAGAATCAGCCTCGGTGGTGTGAAAGAATGAGGTTGGAAGCCATCATTGGTTGCTGAATGGTCGAAGAGGGGAAACGCACGGAAGAAAAGCCGACCGAGGATGTTTCGCGTGGAGTTCAAGGTGGAGCTTCTCGGTTTGACCCAAGCTCCCCCCATACGGAGAGAGATGGAGCACAGACGGGAGCACAGGAGGGTGTTCCAGTGTTCCAGTGTTCCAGTGTCCATCCACTGACTCCAACCGTGGAGAGTCCAGACCTCCCCATCAGACCTCCATCAGACCAACCCTCGCATTGAGACTGCTGTTTGCTAACTACCGACCCAGAAACCCCAGGAACGAAGGTATACAGCCAATTCAAAGCTATCGCTGATCATTTCGATTATACTCGGACAGTGAGATGGCGAGATTATGCGGTGGCCAAGTCTGTACTGAGGCTGTAAGGGAATGAAATCCTCCATATACCACAGGAGTCACATGGGCTACAGATCCAATCGGCGGCGGGACCAGTTCAGTGTCCTTTTCCCTTTACGTATCGCTGTTCATTTCTTCTGCTTGCTTCTGCCACCCTTCCATCAGGCACTACACGGTATTTACCTTTGTTCAGCACAGACACCTCGTTCTTGTTCCCAATCAGATCCCTTCCCTCCGCCTTTGACTTATATTACCTGGGCGAATTCCACCGGCTGAGCCTGGTTGACCGGGATTGTGTTTCAAGCCGTCACCAGAGGCGCATCGAATCACTGCTAAGCGGTCAGGCTAGAATCCTTTGGGCTTCCATTGTATCTGAAGGTGGCGCTCTTTTCCGACGCCGCCTCTTAAGGCAGAAAAGCAAAAGACCAGGTGCGAAAACCACTAGTCCAGCTTGGAGCGACTAAGCTGGGCCTTCTCAACCTAACAACAACTCAAAACAGTCACTGCCCGTGGGGGTTCCAGGGAGGGCATGACCAGGGAGGTTCCTCGTACTGACCACTAGATTTCCAACGCTAGTCCCCCCTCCCAAGAGCAGTTCATATTTGTATCGGTCAAAGTGTGCTCGTCCCTGCCTCCGCCCGTTAGCCACTGGCGCTCTGTCGCCTGTGACCCCTTCAATAAACTCACGCCAGTCATACTCGAAATAGCGCTCGTCCATGGATGTCCTCTTTCGTCGAGTGCTTTCGCCCAGAGAACTCCTTCGTCCTTCGTCGCAATCTCTATACACCCAGTCTGCGATCCCCCTGCGCCTCATTCGCAGGTACGATCGATCGCCATAGAGGTCCCACACTCGATCATCAGGTGCCCAATGTGTCGTGACCCCGGATGACCACTTGCTCGCAATGAGCCATATTTCTGCACAAAAGAACGGTGGCAATAACGTTCCCCCTCCACGACAAATACGCTTCGTCTCGACAGACGGCCAACCTCAGACAAAGCGGCGGCGAATCAACGCAGCGTGAGTACTTTGCCAGCCACGCAACAATTACTATCACCCCTTATTTAGGCTCACTCGCTGACTCGTGGTGGCTCGATTCTTCAGGTGCTTGACATGTCGCAAGCGCAAGATACGGTGTTCGGGGGAACAACCAGGTGAGCAGAAGCCAGGATCCTCGCGACTATGACAAATGGCTGACAGCTCGCGTTTGGGTTTGTCAGTATGCAAAACCTGTTCAGACTACAATCATGTATGCCAAGGGTATAGCGAGCCAGCAACACATGCCCGATCACAGTCTGATTCGGGTACCCGAACTGCGACAATCGCATCTTTATCTAATTCTAACGACTTCACTACGCCCGTTGCTTTGAAAGTGGAACTTCGGTCCCCGGAACCCCCACGTCGAGTCACAGTGTCTTCTGTTGAACGCAATAACAAGCCTCTGACAGAACCTGAAATGGTGGATACGAGAGACGCTTCATCCGCCAGGGACGTGTCTTCCCGGAACACGAAAGAGTCCGAACAACAGACGCCAGCAGAAAGTCCGGAGAGCAGTATGTATTGAAAATTCCTATCGTCGAGTTAACCATGGTGAATCATTCGTACTTACCAGGCACCGCTTAACTAGATCGTACCTCTTTAAGTTCTAGCGCCCGCACCCATGTTCCTTATTTTAGGTATTTTGGACCAACCGCTATAGTTCCGGGCTTCAAGCAGATGGTCTGCATTACCCTCATACTGTGTTATATTGGTTTTTGGACTGACAAGTCTGCCTGCAGGTCGTTCAGATTCGAGGTTCCCGCAAGAGCAATCCATCATTGTCATCAGGTCCGTGTCACTTCGCTTCACGTGCGCTCCCGTGGTTTACAAAGCGAAAGCCGCTGACCTAGACCGGTTGTACACACAGAGTCATTATCACCATTACGTAGTCCCAAGCTTCCAAATCCCGCCATCAACACCGTAGGCACTTTGCCTGATACTCGCGATAGCCGTGACTACAATACTATTCTGTTCTATGATCGCGATGACACTCTTCCTGTCAGCAACCTCGTGGTGCACCTTTGTGACCTGTTTTTCGTGCATTTAGGGTGCAGCTTTCCCTTCCTGCAACAAGACAGGTTTCTGAGAGATTTGAAAGACAAGAAGGTCGACACAATGCTGGTCGATGCTATCTGTGCATTGTCAGCTCGCTTTTCTCCCCACCCGCTCTTGAGTCCACCCCAGGCTCCCTCAATAGACGGATCAGAACCAGAAATGGATTTGAAAAAGTCCAACCGCGGTCAGCCATTCGCTCATAGGGCGATGAGTGCTCTAGTCGATTCCCTTTCATGTCCCACCATTTCTGTGGTACAAGCATGCCTCTTACTGGCATACGAGGAATTTGGGTCGAATCATGATAGTGGTCTCTGGATGTACTTGGGCATCTCAATAAGGATGGCGCAAGATCTTGGGATGCAGAAAGTTCGAGGCCTGGAATACAACTATGGTCAGAGTGGGGTGACCCCCAGCGCCGTGCTTACTGGGCAAGCTGGCAAATTGAGAGATGATCAGTACGACGAACCTCCACTTTCGCCAACCCTAAGGGGTCAGTCGCGCGAAACAGAGGCTCGACGTGCTTCAGAACGTGCCAGAGTGGATTCTTTTTGGAGTATTTTCTTTCTAGACCGAGTGATTTCATCCGGTACAGGAAGACCTGTTACCTTACGCGATGAAGATATCGAGCTCTGCTTTCCTCTTCAATCGGAATCTAGGCTGCCGAACGGGTGGCCCGCGCCGTTCCCTCCACTTATTCGCATCATTCACCTGTACGGCAGAGTGACAGATCTCATCAATGGGATTCAGGATGCCAACCATGTAACCTCGGAAACATTGAAGATACTTGCTGGTATGGAAAGCGATTTGACAGGTAATGATACGTTATTCTTTGCATAAACTCTATGCTGCAGCTAACACGGCTGTACCCAGGAATATATCAACGTTTGTCTCCTCGCCTCCACTTCAACGCCGCAAACTTTCAAGCATATGTCAAGGCGAAAGAAGGAACCAATTTCATTCTATTACATTTTGTATGGTCGGCCTTCTTTTGCTTGGAAGCTCATTTTATACTGACATGGCCCAGTGGTTTCATACTCTGATAGTTCTGCTGCATCAGCCTACGCTTCTCCATTCGTTTGGGGGAACCATCCAGCATCTGTACCCAAACAGCCGGGAGTTGTCGATGTCCTCAGCCAAAACCATCGCTGATATTCTGTCATTCTCCGAACTTGTTGACGGAAAGAGTTTTATCGGCAATCCTTTCACAAGTCAACCGATGTACATCGCTGCATGTGCTTTTCTGATGGAAAGTGCTTATTACTCCTCGCCATCATCGAGGTCTGGTTCGCCTCCTATCCAACCCTTACTGAATAATCAGTCTAGCGGGTTTGTGATGCCCAGCATGGACCCAACTAGCGGATCTGAAAGGAGACCCACCGCTAAACACATTCTTCTCGCGTCTGCTGCAAAGGAGAATTACCAGAGATGCTACAAAGCATTGAAAGCGCTTGAGGCATATTGGGAAGGCACGAGATATATTCTAACGGTCTTAGACCAGAAAGCTAAAGGAATCGTGGATCCGCTCTTATATACCACGGAGGAGATGGAAAGTACTGCAGAGCTATCTTCTGTCCAGCCACTCGCCACACCACAGTGGCGACGAACGCAGTCTTCCATTGATGCGGTGGATGCTGGCCCATCGACCTCGGGTGCAGATGCACCAGCAGATGGGAGGCGGTCGCCAAGAATAGATCCGAGTCAAGGTAGGGTCCACTAGGTTGTTCTTTCTACAAAAGGCTAACTATTTTCAAGCCATTGGATGGGCTCTCACTGGTGCGACGAACTCCTCGCAGCCGAACATAAGCCTTCTATATCAGATGCCTGCACAAACAGAGTCTATCCCGGAGAGACCAACACATCCATCTAAATTTAGCCATAGTTACCCTCACATACCTGTTCAAACGAGTGGTAGTGGGATCTCGAGCTCATACTCACAGGCCATAGAGCCATCTCGGAGCACAGAGCCTACTCCAGGGCCAAAATTGGCCCCTGCATCCGCACAATACTCACCGCCGAGATCGTCTGCTCGGGTTACCACTTCCGATGCCAACCTACTGCTCGGGTTGAATACATCTTTTCCTGGTTCCACCTCCCGCCTGCCTAATTCTCGCTCAACCTTCAGTCACCAAATGCCTTCCTCTCCATGCGGACTTGAGGGCCACGCACAAACTTATCATTACAACATGCCTGCTACTGTGAACGACTCTAATACAGGAAGCGGGCATTTGATAGCACAAACCACTGGTTTGCATCCTGATGCTGGGTCTCATACTGGGAACGTATTCATTGAGAGCCAGGAAGTTGACATGACAATGCTTCAACAACATGAATCACTTCCTTTTGCATTCGGCGGTGAGATAATTCCATGGCTGGAATATCTTCCACAGGACGTCCTCAACTACTTTGGTGATAATCAAAACTACTCCGGTATGCTGAGTCCAGATGATGAGCCCCCTCGACCACATTAAGCTCGTTTCTCCACTATGCGTTCCCTTCAATGTTCATGCACCGTTGCATATATTCTCGCTGTGTATGACCTAGATAAGCTAGCCCGGTGACAACTTTAATACTGCCCGGACTCACTGTATATTGAGCATCAAAGCACTGTCATACACCTTGCCTGCATCTATGCAAGCCAATAAACATCAGGGAAACTTATCTTGGCGGTATATGTAGCATAGGGTCAATAGAAATCTTGATCAAGGCTCGAAATCTTGAGTCCTTTATGTCTGCTTCTCATAATATTGTTCCGGAGGATGACAATATCGACTGAGACAGCGATGGCGTGTCTTGCTGTAGAATAATCCACACAAGGACCCTTCAAGTTACAGCCACGTTGGCTGTGTTGAAAAAGACTCGCTAGCTCTAACATGCGGTTTTGTTCATGGACATTTTACTGTCAGCAGAGCCTGATATCTCTTTCCTTCCCCTTTCTGCCCCTCTCTCCTTCTCCTCCTCTAGGGCGTCGCCTACGCCTCAATCGGCGACAGTTTAAGGCAAAGATACAAGAATTTAGCGCTACCTCGCTTTCATAAAACACTGACCCAAGAGTTGAGAGTTGGTCTCAAGGGGAATCAAGCCTTGGGGACTTCCTAGTGAGCAGCTTGATCTTCAGAGGTGGTCGTATTCTGGAATCGAGATCGAATCTCAGATGCTCCGAAACAGAGACGCCATCACAGTCATGACTTGGGCATAAGTCCTTGATTATGACTAATAGATTCAAGTCCAGCTCTACCCTCTATCCCTTTATATCAATCACGACTCACGAATTGAGACCTATTGCAGGCCACACTTTTCCCCTTGGGCTCGATGCCATCTTTGATCGCTTGTCTCAAGCAAAGAAACTGTCCAGTCTCAAGCAGAAGTCATTCATTATTGTTCCACTTTAAACCTGATTTTCATTTGCGCACCATTCTGACGTGGCTAGACAGCATGACGCCAATCTATACAGTTCATTGAACGACCAAAACCCATACGGAATTACCCTCTGGTCAAATCTTGCACGGTGTATGAAAAACCACACAGCCAGGTGAGGGAAGACGAAATTGACAGCCTGGAAAAATCAAGAGCGACGCCTCAATCCTCTGACTGCAACCAATCGAACGCCGCGAGCATCTGGTCGGCCAGCCTAGAAATGCTGCATCATGATCTGTTTAAGAGACTCTGTTTCACTTCAGCTAGGCCTCAGGGATCAAAGTCTCAGGTCCAGCTTCTTATTCTCATGAGTATTCAATCCTGCAGTCCGATCCCTTCTCCAACATCGCAAGCAATCATCTTATCCCATTGCCCGTCTCGAACTTCATCCTGCGGGTAGGGATGTGAGGCGTGTGTCCAGTTTTTCCCTGAGAGAAAGCTTCACCCTGGAATTTGTCCTGGTAGAGAGCGGATTACAATTCGGGTGCAGCCTCAAGCTCAATAGTTATGCCTAAGGTGATTAGTCAAAAGATTGTGTATAGCTGTAGCTGTCCGTAGATTGTGGAAGACGTTGACAACTGTTGGGCACCTGGCATTCTCCACAGGTTGTGGACCCTTAGCGGGTCCTTGTCATGGACCCTGCGTTTTTAGTTCGTCCTTATTACAAGGTAGCTGTGTACTCAAGGTGTATTGAAGACGCCCAGAGCAAGAAATATCATTGATGAGAATCGTACCAGTATTACAGTCAATACAGGCTTGGCAGTAACCTGGGGATAAGCAATACACGCTAAGGTGCGATGCGGGCACAGACTTCCGCTCTCGTATTGTAGTGTAGCACTCGATTATTCCGTACATTTACTACGTGAAAGTAGGCCCGTATCTTGTGTCGACCCTAGTTTGGCATCTTCCCTTCATCCCCTTTTTCGATGCTTTTAAATCCTCCTCTATGATACTCTACAAATGGCCGATACTCCGCCATTTCGTTCATCCTCCATGTCCCTTTCCTGTTTAAAGTAGTCAACATCTTCGTCTGCGTCTACCTCATTCTCTACCTCTACAAACATAGGCCAAGATATCGCGACCCCACATCATACTTCTACAACCCCGCCAACGCTTACATGAGACACTACTCCTCCCAGCGAATCGCCGAAGCAGAAGCATTTCTAGCCTCCGCCTGCCACTCGAGACGCCAAGCGAGAGCACCCGAAGCTCCGCCGCAACCAACGATATGCAATCGTGACAAGACACCGTGTTCCCGGTTCCCTGATTAGCTGGATGGCTCACCGTCTCCGGCAGTGTATTATACCAGCGGGTCCCTTAGCTACCTAGCTACTCATTACAACAACATCACCTCCATCAGGTTATGAGCCCTCCACCAGGGGGGCATCTTTATCGTTCCTCAGAAACGGATCGTATGAGCGACCTTGTATAGCTTTGTTTTCGAGGACTGCGAATTTTTAAACCCTCCCCCCCCCCCTGATTTTGGTGCCACCACCGCATCTTGGTCGGTTTGGAGGTAACCGCTCACGTCAACTACTATAGCGGATGCCGGCTCCTCATCCATCACTGGCCGTGGCGGTGGTGGCAACCCACGAACAACGTTCAATTACAGTAGTTCCGAGACTGGCCGTGTGGCTCATGCATGTCAAAGACACTCTTTTTCATCACGGTGCGGAAGAATTGATTAATATCACCGTACCACGTCCCACGCAGGGGACGGAACCCTACGAAACATGGTCCAAATAGTCGACGTTGATCAAGTGCTGGCTGACGGCGTCGATATCCGCCTGAAACACTTTCAATCTACCACGAGAACAACCTCCGGCTTCTCGATGAAAGTTCGGTGCCATATATCAGTTTGTGTATAAGCAGGGCCAAGTTAGCAAGCGGGCGTTTTCTGACTTGCTTAACATGGACCAAGAGATTACAGCCATGTTTCTGTTTTATCAGGGCATCCACGTTGCTTGCACGACTATGAACAAAACGGATAGATAAATTCCTCAAATTAATCGAGTCAGGATCGTCTACTTATATTAAATGCCGTCCTATGAAGCCGTGACAGTATGCAAGAGAATAAAGAGTCATATTATACCGACAATGATATTGTCGGGGACTCCGGAGAGCGTTTTTCTCCATTTCCTTTTAATGTATACTTGTATTACGGTGTTATCTTTGGTCCTGCCTTTTAATTTGATACTTGGACGCCTCCCAACGATTCTCTGGTATTTATTCTATGTTTCTGCTTGGTGGTGTCTGTCCGGACGTTTCCCGTGGCTGCCCCAAGTTCTGCTTCCGCTTCTGCTGTTTTTTCGCTTATGTTGCCTAGTTAGGAAAATCAGGCTGTTAACTCTGGCTTCACTTCTTCCTGTTTTGGAAGGACCCTCACAGTGTATCATACCAGTTCCTTAGCTAGGCTACTCAATACAACAACATCATCAACTCCATCAAGACGACATTGCGAGTCTTGAGGGCCGGCAATCCGGCGGCACCCATAGCACGTTGTCGTCATTCCAAGTAATCCAGGATGCATCGCTGTTCATACCCGAACCCCTTTTCTTTGAGCGTTTTCAGCCAGAAGTACGCATGGGTACAACCCGAGAGAAGGCGAAGCCTCCAGCACAAGGATCCAGGTACATTCTCAACCTATCAAACGAGAACTGATGTCGGGGTACCTCAGCTACTTCGAGTGATTTGACAAGGACTTCGGAGTCAAGCTCCCAAAGCAGGAATCTCACTCCAAATGCCCTGCGGCTTCAATCTTCTATCTTGAGAAATACAATTGCTGCTAAAGGGAACTTTGATGAAAAGGTACTGTAGAGATTTCCGGTTCTGACACCCCAGATTCTTAGGGTTATATCAAGAGACAACGAAGCCACCAGCTTTGAGCTTGGTGAGAAACCAACCGCAAAGACGGGGCTCGTATGGTTCCTTAGCGTCTTTTGAACATTCATTGTTTTGGCATCCCAGAGTTCAATGGTTGGACTAGTGCGTGAACTCGAGGCCAAAAGTTTAGAGCTGTGGGAGAGTGCTAGGGAACTTACACAGCTGTCATGATACTCAGGCGATCCATCCGAGCTGCCCGATGCTTTTATGTCGAAGATCTTGATATCATAGTCTCTACCTACAATTGGAGTTTGTGAGTCGGGGTGAGAGTGTAAGTGGGCTTGTACCTCTGGGGTTCTTGTATGTTTTCTGGAGGCACTCTGTCGTTGTATCCCAAACCCTGATTGTGCTCTCAGTCCTCGACCCTGACGCTACATGATTAGGGTCGGGTGAGAGCACAACAGTCAGAGTGTTCCGAAGCACACCCGTCTTTGTGTCCGAAATCTTGATAGTCTTGTCCTCGGGTCCCAATGCCAAAAGCTTCGAATCGTATGAGATGCCACCGTATAGATGTCATTCTCGTGGCCTGTAAGTGTTCGTCAAAGTGTGCGAGTCACCGAATCCCAAAATTAGATCGTATGGTCCTCAGATCCTGAGGCCAGCATTTTTGAAGTTGGGGATAATGATAGGGAGTAGATAGGGTCTGAGCTGTCAGCCTTACTTTCATATTCTCTAGCTCGAGCTCTGGGGTGTGGCAGGTTGTATAGGTTGGGCTGCAGGATTTCTGTATGCTAGCCAATTGATCCATTTTGTCTCGACACGATGTGCCAGATGCATCTTCAAATCGAGTGCAAGGATTATTACACTACTTAATACCAGCCGCTCCCAAGCCCCCACACCAGCTGTCAAAACGAGGTATGGTCTAGTAGAATTACACTAGTAGAGGTTTGAAAGCAGGCTCTGTTGGATATCCGGAGTAATACTAGTTGGATGGCTGCTTACCGATGACATTCCTCAAAGATGCTTAGGAGGGAACAAACAGCGCTAAGTTAAACCCAAAGCACAAAAGAAAAACGACTTCCAAGATGATTTCTGCAGAAATCCAGTTCAGTCTTCTAGTTAGTACAGTCTACTAGTGAAGATATAGTCTAGTCTGGTAGATCCAACGAGTGGTTGCCCTGCACAACCAGAGGCGGTCAGGCCTCACTAACAACACATCAAGGATGGATGATCAACACCCATGCAGGGGACTTCTTCCGGAAGAAAATAAAAAGGACCACCGGGAGAAATATGCATCCTTGTCCATTGAAATCTGAGGCATCTTTTGGTGATCGATTTGATCAGAAGTGACCTGACCAACTACAAACTGTGACAGTTCCACGATCCACAGTCCCCGGAATCTCTGAAACTATAACCAAAGTCGGGCAACGCCTGGGCTGAATCTGACTGGTGCTCCGAGAAACAAGTGGGATTCCTACCATTCTTTCTTATTTCTATCCCACATTCCAGTCAAGGGTCCCCAATGGAGAATCATCCTTATGACAGTCACTTTACTGACTACGCAGACCTCCCAGAGGAGGATTTACGTCTTTCTTTATCAGGTCCCTTCGCCGTCGCGCAATCCCCCGCTTCTCCCGCCCGAGCGACGAGCTCGGCTCTCCCGCACGAGTTCGAGCATCATGCCAATAGCGGGTCTCGGATGGAGGACGCGCAGATGCTGATTCAAGACGGATACCAATCGTCCGGATCGTCAACCCGACACTCCAGTGGGAATCTTGGGGCATACCTAGACGAGGACCCGGCTTGTATGAGCTCTGGAGGGTCCAGCCGCTCTTCAATCTCGTCGATTCCCGCATCGGTGTACACAAACTTGGCGGAGGGAATGAAACCGACCACTGCAGGGCACGACCACGGACACTCCCACCCGTGGGACGCTCACGATAGACTGGATGGGGGCACCTTGCGACCAATCTCAGCCAACAAGCTGCGCCAGGCCGCTTTCAGAAAACCTAGCTCGGTCAAGGCCATGCAGATGCATACCGAGGATGAGCGCGACGATGATGCGTTTCTGACGACGCCGCCGAAGCGCCGCGCCGGCCATCAGCGCTACTCCGACGTGTCTATACGCTCGGTGGGCTCGTCGTCGCTGAGAAAATCCCAATCTTATTCACCCACCGGGTCTGGTGCTGCAAGAAAGCAGCGGAAAGAAGAAAATGAATACCCGCTAGTTCTTTTGCACTGCAACCTGCTTCCGCCATCGCTTCCGGTCCCAGGCGCGGCGGCTTATCACAATCAGAAGATTCTTAGTGAGGTGTTGCCCCCAGTCTTCTGGCGTCGGTGGAAGCTGTTGGAGGAGAAAGTGGGCTCCCAGGTGCTTCGGGAGCGCGGAGTTCTCATCTCGCATCCGGAAGATATGTACGACTTGCTTGAGGAGCGGCTGTTGGAGAGTTTGGAGCTGCAGCGTCCACGCCTCGATCACGGTCACTTTATTGGTCATGATGAGACCGAGTCAGAGAAGGAGGACCGCTCGGAGAAGGAGGAGAGCGCCACAGACGAGGAGGAAGGGGAGCCATGCCCAGACTGCAGCGGTCATGTCATCCGACACGGCAACGCTGGGCGCAAGTGGGAAATCAAGGTGTTCGCAGCCAATGGACTGATGAGAGCTGGAGCTTGGGCTGCAGCTTGGAGGGAGATGGAGAAAGTGGATGTTGAGGTTGGCCTGTGGCTGCCCTCGGAAGTTCGCCGGGAGTTGGAAAAGAGGCTTATGGGCGAAGACTATTATTCCTGTCACCTTGAGCCCCAACTGCAGGTGCCGCAGTTGCAGGTGCCCGGAAGCAACCCTGTCATTCATGCACGCCCAGAGGCCCGACATGCTCGTACGTCAAGCTCAAACACAGTCGACCAAAGGTCTTTTTCATTCGAGGAAATTAAGACTCCATCGTCCCCGGCTGTTGATAAGTCGACACCAGTCGAGCAGCAACAACCCCCGAAAACGGTCTTTTCTCCTCTGTCAGCCGATGATATTGACATTCACACCTTGTTGGTCAATTACCTCCGCGTGTTGGCGAGCGACCGGCGCAATGTGACCATTGCCATCCTTAGTGTTTTGGTGGTATTCTTCGCCATTCAATCGGGCTCCCATGTAAACTCTTCGGCTCTTCGTCCATTCCCCCAGGATCTTATGGAGGCTGAATCTCTTTCCATTCCCGTTTCTTCAACTAAGCAAATCGAGTCGGTCACGAGCCATTCTCCCACCGCCTGCGTGAGTCAAGCCGCCCAGAGCGCAACCACCGACATTATCATTGGAGAAGTGCCTATGTCGGTGAGCGAAGTGCCGGATTCAACGAGCGGAAGTATTTCCTCTGCTGTGATGTATGCGGCCGTCGCTGAGTCGGTGCCCGCGTTTGCAGGCGACATATCCGAGTCATTGAGCACGAGTGTCCTATTGGCTCCTCTACTCGAACCTGCGGCTTATGGGATACACCCGTCTGCGAGTGACATCTCAGAATCTGCGAGCATGAGATCTCAATCCGTTGTCTTGGCCGAACCGGCTGCGCCGTTGGTGATATCCGAGCCTGACATGTCACATCATGAGTCGCATGCAAGTTACAGGATAGAAAAGCCTCTCATTCTATCCCAGGCCGAAGAGAAACCGTCCCGGTCTCTCTTCACGGCCGTCGAGTCGTCGGTGGGACCAATTGCCTTGGTTGAAAGTCAGACACCCATTGTGGATAGTCTGAACCCAATCATGGATCAATTGCTGGGCAAATAAATGATCTGATGATAATGAAGGTAAACGTAGCGACGCGATCTATGACCGAGACGCGATTGAATGATTTGCGCAATCGTGCGGCAAGGCACTCTCTCTCTCCCCCTGTTTCTCTTCCAAGAGTGTCTTCTAGCCTGTATACTGTATTTAGCTAGTTCTGTATCTGCATTCCTTGGTTATCTCAAAGTTATATGTGGCATTTCTGCTTCAATCATTTACACCATTATTACCAGGCTGCTGGCTTGTGGGATGTGATGAGTGGAGTTGGCATGACTCGTTCCGGCGGGATGGAATCAATAATAGGATTCAATAGAGGCAGCGCCCAGGCTTCCCGCTTGTCGATCATCTTCCGCTTCTTTGGGATTTTGCCTTTCACTACTCCCCATCGGCTCGAGACGGAGGCTCTTGTCAGTCTTCGCTGCACGCCTTGCAGCGCCCAGCAGAAAGAGCCTTTACGTTCTCCGTCTTTCATGCTGACTGAACAGGCTCCACTTCCACGTCTAGTTCTTGTCCCTCGAGTCGAATTCCTTCACCCTCTCCGCATACGGCAGCTCACCATAAACTGACGTTGAGGCATAGGAGGATCCCTTACTTGCTATTGGCCTCAATTTGATATCTAAGCTCGCTGAGGAGCACCGTAGGTGTACTCACGGTATGCCTGTCGCCAAAATGCGTCCTATAAAGCTAGAGAATGTCTCGGTGCCATGAAAGCAAAAAAAAAATAGTGGACGGTGAACGAAGCAGTCTTGCCTCCGGTTTGAGGCTATCCGCAGGTCGTAAATTCCCTTCCTCTTGTCTGGGGGGCTGCTTTGGACGATTCTGTCCGCATATCTTCGTGCTTTCTTACCACTCTTATAATCCGTCATAATGAAGTTATCTTCCAACAAGCTGGCCTTGTTGTCAGTGATCCCCGGCCTCGTCCCATGGGTGTCTGCTCGTGTTGTCCAGTTCCAGATTGATCTGACCTATGAGGATCATGAGGTTGCTGGCTTCGTGCGCAAGACAATTCTCAGCAATGGACAGTTTCCCGGCCCTCACCTTCAGTTGAAGCAGGGTGACGACGTGGAATTTCTGGTGAACAATTCGATGCCCATGGCGACCACTGTTCATTTTCATGGTAAGCAACTGCTCCTTGAGCTGCAGAGTTGACCAAGGACGCTGGCTCACAATTGGCTCATAGGCATTGAGCAGAAGGGCACGCCATGGTCGGACGGTGTCCCAGGGTTGACCCAGGAGCTCATCCAGCCTGGAGAGCAGTACCTGTACACCTGGACTGCCACTGAGTATGGCACCTACATCTACCACTCTCACTCAAGGGCCTTGCTGGATGATGGGTTATATGGCTCCATCTACATCGAGCCCGCGGAATCAGTCGAGAGGCCGTTTGGGTTGATCACCGATAACGCAGACGAACTGCAGGCGATGCTGGATGCAGAGCAAAACACGCGGCCGATCCTGCTTTCGGACTGGAAGCACTTTGATTCGACGGAGATCCTACAGCTGGAGCAAGACTCCGGCGTGGAAAGTCTTTGCACCAGCGCCGTTCTGGTTAACGGCAAAGGTTCCGTCTTTTGTCCGGGACAGGAGCATATCAATGCCATCACCACCGCCGTTCAGAAGCAGATCTTGGGCAATGCTACTCTGACTGATATGGGGTTTGTCTCTCATCGACCGAGGAGGCTTCTCGCTTTTTGAATAATGTGGCTAATTTGGAGTAGATGTCTTCCTCCAGAGGCCCTCTACGGCGATACTTATGACATTGATGTCAGCAAACTTCCAGCTGGATACTATGAAGGCTGTATGGCCAGCCAGGGGCCTACCGAAGTGTTCAGTGTGGGTACGGGCTATCAGAGCTTTGATCTGATCAGCATGGGCGGAGTCACCGCGCTGGTGTTCTCTATCGACCAGCATCCCATGTATGTCTACGCGGTGGATGGCCGCTACGTCGAGCCCATGCTGGTTGATGCCATCACAGTTCCCATCGGAGCACGCTACTCGGTTCTTGTCAAGTTGGATCAGCCTGCTGCCGACTACACCGTCCGCATTGCGAACAGCTACTCGACCCAGGCCATCAACGGGACGGCTGTCATCTCCTACGCGAAACAAGACTCAAGTGCCTCCAACAGCCTTGACCCTACACCTCAGCCTTATATCACGGAAGGCGGCGGCAACGCCACAGCCAGCACGGTCTTTCTGAACGAGACCAACGTGGTTCCCTTCCCCGTGGTCGCGCCCGCTGCCAGCGCTGACCACACATATATCATCAACGTCGAGCCCTACAACGCATCGTACACGTGGGAAATGCACAACGCCAGCTACGCGGCATCGAACGAGAAGCTCTACCCGGTTTTATATAACCGCAGCTCCATCCCCGCGCAGTATACCGTGTCCACGCTGAACAACACCTGGGTGGATCTTATCATCAACATCACGACTGCCGGCCAGCCAGCCCATCCCATCCACAAGCACTCCAACAAGTACCATGTTATCGGTTCAGGCCAGGAGCCGTTCACGTACTCGTCCGTGGCCGAGGCCATGCAGTACATTCCGCAGAACTTCAACTTGGAGACGCCGCCGATGCGCGACACCTTCTTCTCGCCGGCCTCGGCGACGGGACCGACCTGGCTGGCGCTGCGATACCAGGTGGTCAACCCCGGTCCGTTCCTGATGCATTGCCATCTGCAGATGCATCAGACCGGAGGCATGGCGCTGGCTTTGCTGGATGGGATTGACGCGTGGCCGAACACGACTGAGCATCGAATGCCAGTTAAGATGAGGTCTTGAGTGTGGGTCTCGGCCTTGGTAGCTTTCATGCATGCATAACTATCCAACAGTATATAGCTTTTCTAAAAATAATAATTATTAATATCTTTCTGCTTCTATTGAAGTACGGTATGACGTTCTTTGTGGTATGTCCTCACTAACACTATGGAGCAAAGCAAAAGCCAAGCCAAGCCAGCCAAGCAAAGGCAACAAACAGCACAGTACTCCGTACTGTAAATTTAGTCATCGGGACTCCACCGCCCGGCCCAACCGGTGCCGCGATAGGACGATTCTCCGTCCTTCGTCATCTCTTACTGTTCCGCCTTTTTTTCCATCTGCATCCATCTCCATCTTCCTTACTGTTTTGCTCCCTACACCAGTACACAGTACCTCTCTGACGTGCATATACCCCCTCTCCTTACATTCCCACATCACATCCAAGACCTTAGAAAAATGGGTGGAAAGAAAGGCGGAGCCGGCGAGAACTCCAAGAAGGCGGCTGGCCAAGCTCGTGTATGTTAAGTGGTTTTTGCTATACTACTGTACCTAGTAGTTACCTACAAACTAACAACCCCCGCCTGCGCTGCCTTACCCCTCCCCTCTACCCCTCGAATCCGGACACCATTCACACTTCCCACTCCCTTCGGTTCCAACGCAACATGCAATCATGAATACACTAAACTAAATTTCACCACCACAAAAAAAAATAGAAAGCCGAAGCCGCCGCCTCCAAGAAAGCCGCCGAGGACGCCAAGCGCGCCGCCGAAGAAGACAAGCAATGGCAGAAGGGTGCGAAGGGTAGTTCTAAGAAGTACGTTCTCTCCTCCTCCCACTCCTCCTCCTCCTTCTCCTTCTCCTTCTCATAACCGTCTTCTCTCCTCCGAATCCGAAACTCATCTTTTTGGGGGTGGCAGGGACGACGCGGAAGCCAAAAAAGCCGACGCCGCACGCAAGAAAGCCGAACGCGACGCCCTCCTCGCCGCGGAGGAGGCCTCGCAGCCCTCCAAACCCAAAGGCAGCGGAGCGAAGCAAGCAACCAAGAAATCCGTGAGCCGGGGGTTGGATCTGTCGCAGCTGGACGATACAGCGGGCGGCAGCAGCAAATCCTCCGCGTTGAATGCGTCGGGTATCGATAACGCGCTGGACGCGCTCTCGCTGACGGGGAAGGACTCCAGCAAAGTGGACCGGCACCCCGAGCGACGGTACAAGGCGGCGTATGCGGCGTATGAGGCGCGGCGGCTGCCGGAGATTGAGGCGGAGAATCCCGGGTTGCGGCGGCAGCAGCGCGTGGAGCTGTGTCGGAAGGAGTTTGAGAAGAGTGAAGAGAATCCGTTTAACCAGGTGCATGTGGCGTTTGATGCTAGTCGCGAGGAGATTGCGGCGGTGAGGGAGGCGGAGAGGAAGAAGGTGGAGGCTCGGTTGGCCAAATAGAGTGGATGGCGTTCGCTGAAAGTCAGATTCACAAAAGGAAAAATGTCGCCATCATGTACTACTATCATGAGTGGTAGGTATATATACCCGGGGGGAGGGTTTCTCTCCTTTGGAAGAGAAGGGAAGCAAACTAGTTGGAGCAGCGCGCCGGGCGATTGAATGGGCCGGCTATGTATGCCTCGGTGAATGAGGCGAGGTCTGGAATAGTACTCCGTATAGATAGAAGAAAATGACGGCAAATGAGTTTAACGAAGTAAAATAAGGCGACAAACGAAGAAAAAGTCTGGTATCATGCAGTCTAAAGAATCATCATATATCCATAATACAAAAAAAAGGAGTCCAGTCACCAACACCCCTACAAATCAACCACCCATCACAGCCCGTACATCCCAGACATACAAACTCTCATCCCAGCCAACGCTGGCACACCACCCCTCACTTCCAAACAAACACCAATCCACCCCTGTAACGAACTCCGTGTGCTGACCCATGCGGCCCAGCTCCACGCCCATGTTGGGGCCGGGCCCGCCGCGCATCATGTCGACATCACCGACCACGCCCGCGGGGGACTGATCCGTCCAGGCGCGGCAGGTCATATCGTAGCTGGCGCTGAGCAGGACGTTCGACAGGTGCGGCGACCAGGCGACCTTGCGAACGGCGTAGTCGTGGCCCAGCATGACGGCCTGCGGGCCCTGGTGCGGGGCCCGGATATCAAAAGTCCGGATGGTGCGATCCACTCCCGCCGTTGCCAGCGTCGAGGGCCGGTATTTGTTCCAATCCATCGTCAAGGCCTCAGCGGGCGCCACAGAGCCCCCAGCCATCAGGGGCGGCGGTGCGCCTGGTGCTGGTTGGGGTGCTGCTGCTGCCGCTGCTGGGGAACCCCCCGCGTGGATCGGAATCTGCAGGGTCAAGTGGTTTGACGCGGAGGCCGGGGTGCGCAGATCGTACAATCTCAGGTACGAGTCCGAGGTAACGCAGGCTAGTAGGTCGGGCGAGTGCGGCGAGAAGCTGGCGGCGTAGGTGCAGCTGTGCGTCGGCAGGGTCAGCAGCGAGTGCGGCCGATGCGGCGACCAGACGCGCACTGTGCCGTCCCAGCTGCTGGAGCTGAATCGGTCCTTGGCCACCAGGTTCCAATGCACGCTGAAGACCTCGCGGTTGTGCTCCTTCCAGCTCTGCACGGGGAAGTCGTTAAGGCTCGTGTCGAAGAGCTTGATGCTGCCGTCACCGCTGGCGGTCAGGACTTGATGCTCGTTAATCTCGGACCAGGCAAGGTCATAGAGGGAGTCTTGCGTGGTGAAGCTTTGCGTTTGCGGGAAACCAAGGTGTCAGTTTTGACTGCAATCAGGGTTGATTTCAGATTTGGGGGACAGGAAACTAAGGCGAAAGGGACGTACTGCTTGGCGGGCACAATGCCCTGCGGGGTCAATTCGAGAATGAAGAGACGGCCATTGCCAACCAGTCCATAATTGGCGGACGCGGCAACGGCGAGTCGGTTGTCGAAGAAGGGAGAATATTTGACCGCGCAGCCGTTAAAGCCTTGGGTGCGGAAGTGAAGCATTGTGTGGGATTCAATCGGCAAGCGTGGGTGGTGTTGGTGGTGTTGGTGGTGCGGGCGGAAGTCGGAGGGATTAGGGATGACCGATCATGGCGGGGAGGAGCGGAGATTAGAGTGAGGAGGGGGTGGAGAGGATGGCTGAGAGAAACCGTTCTCCAAGGGAGAGAGCAGAAGGATAGTGATGATGACAAAGTAGTGCGGAGTCGGATAAGTTGTAGGGACGAAGTTAGTAGGGACTCAGGAGGTATACACGTGAGGGAGAAATTACTGGGTAGTGCGGGGGAAGGAAGTCATCGCAGAAGCCGAGGTTCGGTAGCCCGACGCCGATCTGCACCTGAACTTGCAGTATTGGATGCAACACCTGCGGGAGTATATTCGTCCACAGTATACTATAGTAGTATCCTTCTATGTATCTGCTGCAGGACTCTACATCCATAACACATATTCACCCAGATATCTGCGCTCACAATATCAACAACCCTTTTCTTTTGCATCCAGGACATGCCAGATGTCACGGTGACGCCATCAGGGCCTGAATTAAACTTTGAATGAATCAAATTATGGCTCAGAAGCTGGATATGAGGACCAATTTTTCTCGCTTCAGCCCTTCCTCCCCTGCGCCCTCTACTAACCACCATACTTGACCAATTCTTCACCACGATGCCCTCAGCCTATCCCGACACTCCCTCCTTCAACCCCCTGGAATCCCACTCTCCGACAACACCATCAACAAAAGCCTCCAACTTCCTCGCCACCGAGATTTACAACATCGGCGCCCAACCGGGCATCCGTTCCCTCCCGCCCAGCCCGGAGCGCGACTTTCTCGTTCTGACCTGGGGCCCCGTTGTCTACCGCACGACCTACAGCCCCCTCTCGGACCAGCTCCTGCCGCTGTTCCTGCGCGTCCTCTCCACAGAAGTGCAGGCGGCTATCCCGCGCTGCCTTCCCGGCACCCGCAAACAGCTGCTCCTCCTCGAGACGAACTACGCCTGCAAGGTCTTCAGCGACGAGAAGCAGTACGGTCACGCCGATATCGGCGCCGTCCGACGGGCGTTTCACAATTGGAAGCGGGCGGAGCTGGCGCTGCCCGTTATGGAGCTTCCGACGCGGTTAAGGGTGTGTTTAGTCGTGGACGAAGGAGTGGTGGAGGAGTTGGCGGGGATGGTGCGGCGCCGTGAACACATGGTGGACGGTGAGACGGAGGAGGGAGAGATGATCATGGACGATGGCGAGAAGGAGACCGACGGTGAATTCGAGTCGGAGTCCGAATCTGGGAGCTCCTATTATGCCCGCTGTCCAGTGATCATGGTGGAGGAGAATTTCCCTGATCGAAGGAGACGCGACTCCAACCCCGCGGACGGGGTGTATCCCGGTTGGACAAAGGTGGCGCTGTCGACGGTAGTGGAGGTGCTCGATGGGTTAAGGTTTGGGAATGGATTGAGCCGATATCATCGTCCAGGGAAGGTATATCTGGGGGAGGATCGGTGGTCCTGAATTGGGTCTGAAGTTTTTTGGTGCTTGGATTTGTATATCGGTTGTCGGCGTTTGGATGCGGTCAATAGAGTTTGGAATAGACATAGATGGGTCTGCATGACGTGCCAATCACTTCGCGATTACGAATGTGTGTCTCAGTGGCTTGTTATGGCGGAAGCGACCTCGTAAGGACTGTGATGCCGAGTGAGGAGCCATCTACAGCATGTTGCTTATCGCGGACTCTGCGTATCCGCGATTGGCCATATCGAGAGCAATCACGTGGTGATAAGGCAGCATTCCCCCACCCTTCGCTTTGCCTTCGTTCATTCCCTTAATATTCGATATTAGTATAGCATAATATGAAACTCTTGACAGCTTCTCATGGATCAGTACCTCTCGCGCAAAAGGACTCGGAGTCCGCCCGTTCCGGCCTGCGCGGACGATGACTCCACCGACATGAAGCTCACGCGCTTGGTGTCCCTCTTTCCGGACATGGCACTGGATGCATTGATGGAGATTCTACTCTCCAGCGGCGGCTGTGTAGAGACGGCCACCACCACAATCCAAGCCCAACCAGACGTAACAAAGAAGCGTATAGCGCCGCTCAGTGCAGCAGCGACCGCCATCCAGACCTCCCTGGACGCTCACATGCGGCAAATCCACACCGACCACTCCGACAAAACCCCAAAACGACCACTGACCCGAAGGGGCAAGACACTGCACCTGTACTCCCCCGAGGACATTGCCGCGCACACCCCCTGCTCCATCATCCACAACTTCCTGCCAGCGGAGCAGGCCAACGCGCTGCTGCTCGAGCTCCTCGATGAGTCGAAGCACTTCTCACGTTACCGGTTCCAGCTCTTCGACCGCACCGTCCAGAGCCCCCACTCCGCTAGCATCTACGTCGCCACCCCGGAGCAGCACCGCCAGCACACCTCCGAGTACACCTACGGCGGCTCCTACCGGTCCACCGTACGACAGATCACCCCGCACCTGCGCGCCGTCTCCGGGGCGGTGCAGCGCGCCGTCAACGCAGAGATCCAGCGCCGCATTCGCACCGTCTACCCAGAAGGCCAGAAATTGAAGTACCAGTCCCCGAGAGAGTGGGTGCCCAACGCGGCCTTTGTGAACTGCTACGACGGGCCCACCGAGGCCGTCGGATTCCACTCGGACGAACTGACCTATCTGGGCCCGCGGGCCGTCATCGGAAGTCTGAGTCTCGGCGTCGAGCGCGAGTTCCGCGTTCGGAGGATCGTCCCCACGGACGACGATGGCGAGGTGGAAGAAGAGAACCCCCAAGTTTTGCCGGAAGATATTTCCGAAGGAGTAGTAGCCGTAACACCAATGGCGGACAAGGCTTCCGCCTCAGACTCTTTGAATAAACAACACAGGCCCAATAAGCGTCACAAGCCATCGACATCCTCGTTGTCGGCTCGGGCAGATGCCCAGGGCCAAATCTCGATTCATCTTCTGCACAACTCCCTACTGGTGATGCACGCCGAGATGCAGGAAGAATGGAAGCACGCCATCGTGCCGGCGCAGACGATCTCGCCGCATCCGCTGGCGGGTCGCCGACGCATCAACGTCACGTATCGATGGTATCGGGACTCGCTGCACCCCCGTCACACCCCCCGGTGCCTGTGCGGGGCCCACACGATCCTGCGGTGTGTGCAGCGCAAGCGCGAGACCCGGGGCCGGTATATGTGGATGTGCTATGCGGGGTATGCGCCGGGCAAGAAAGGGTGTAGCTTCTTTCAGTGGGCGGACTTTGATGATGACGGGGAGCCGCTCTGGGAACGGACGACGGTAGACGACGACGATGCTCCGTGGTTGGAGAATTTTGCGGACGGAGAGGGACAGCTTGCGCATGGGGCACAGCCAGGCAACGAAGAAGAGCGTAGTATATGAATGTACCTAGTCCCTCATACACCTTGTACAGTATCTTGGGAGGTCGCGCTTCCTTCTTAGACACACCATTTTCGGAATAGACTCAATATCATGTCTGCGTGCATGATAAGGGCCAGATTTTCTTGTTCGTTAGGGAACAGTTCCACTAACGGAACCATGGAGAGGATAGAAGGTAGAATGAACCCGTGCAGCAGTCATTCGCACCTCCAACCACATTCACTCACCACTCGAGCAAAGATGCCCAAGACTTAACACTCAACGAAGCCACCACAACTTGATCGGCTTCCAGCCAACAAACCGTAGAATGACTCCTCACAAGCCCACTTTCCACATCACATCTCTCAACAGACCTCAGAGCCAGTCACGCTTCCCTTATTCTTTCCTCTGCATTAGCTCCTGCTTCTAGCCCTCCCGGCTCTCCTGTCTGACGATGGTGCGAGGACGAGTGTCGCGAGTACCAAACGTGCAGATGATGCACTCTATCACCGTTGTCGTCGCCGCCGCTGCCATCACCACCACTGCCTCTGGACCTGGACAACTGCCGCTGTGTGCGTAAACTGTAGTACTCGGAGCAGGCGATAGCCAGGGCGAAGATGCAACAGATAGTCACTATGGGAACGAGGATGAGAAGGCAGACGGTGATGGTTGTTTTATAGTCGGAAGGGGACAGGGTTCGCTTTTCGCTGGGGATGGTGGACATTGTAAGGGGCGAGGGTGGAGATTTCTGTCGGTGATGTAAGGAAAGGATGCCTGGTATGGAGATTGGCTAAGTTCTGCTTGAAAGTGGGTTTCGGATAAGGTAAAATGTGTGATGGCGGCGATTGTTGTGTTTGGGGTCTGAGAGATAGCGGGTGCTGCTCTCCATTGTTGTATAGGAAGGTGCAAGCCCCAACTAAGAAAAAGCCAGTCAAGCAAACACTCATGAATAGGTATGCAAGGTAAGTCTATATATCAGCTCAACTGACTATAATGATACAACCATGGGTATATCGAAGCATCTAGGTGGAATTGTATTCATGCATCCCCTTCCTCCGTGGAAATAATCTTCTCCTTCACCGAAGCAAGCGAAGCATCATCCATCCGCGAGAAGCGAATCTAAACCATGTCAGCAACACTGGATCTCTCTTCCTTAAATGGCAGAAGAAGAAAAAACACACCATCTCATCCGTGCCTCCCCGCGGAGCCCCATACAACGTCAAATCCGAAACACTCGCCTCGATCTCACTCTGCACGCGTCGCACCCAGATCCCATCCCAATGCCAATCCCCAGGTAGCCTGGCCTGCGGGCTTCCGGCCTTCTTCATCGACTCGACCGAGATACCAGCGGTTGTGATGGTGGCGCTGCCAGCGTTTCCCTTACGATGAGCCTTCCACGCATGCCACGCGCTCGGGTTCGCGGCCGCCTCCAGCGGCAAGGAGTCCAGAACATCCGCATCGTCGAAGGTCGAGCGGATGTATTCGAGAAGCACTGCGACGGGGACTGTCTTCCTCGGTTTTGTTGGGCGTCCATCCACCAGCGGCGACGTAGGCTCGGTCTCGTCTATAGACGGGGCTGTGGGCGAGGTGGGTGTGGATTCATGGTCTTTGTCCGGTCCAAGCCCTTTGCTGGCCGGCGTATCGGGTCTCTTCCCACCTCCGCCTCCGGTAGTGTTACTGATGGTCGAATTGCGCACGCTCACGGCGCGAGACGAAGCGGTCGATGGGTTGGCTCCGCCTCGTTTGGCCCGACCGAACCAGTGGGGGAACCCGTGTCGGAGACTGAATCCGCCGGGTGGGAGGCGCTCATCGTCGGTAGCGCTGACAGGGTCTTCGGTTGAGGCGCCCGTGCTGAAGGTGTAAGTAGTAAGAGGCACAATCAGGGGGTGGAAGAGGTCGGTCGCGAAGTTGACCATGGGTGGCATGTTGGGATATGAGTCGGGAAAGCGGATCTGGAAACGCAGGACGGCGGAGGCATAAGGGCCTGGAGATAAAAAGTGATTGACATATTAGTCTCTAGAATTCTCTCTTTGCGCTGCTAGAAACACGTAGGCCTCCTTACCCGAGCGGACAAATATGACGCCAGACCAGAGCGTTGGGTCCCCGGGACTGAGGCTCACGTAGGTGCCCGGAGGGGCTGCATGTTGCAAGCTTGCACTGGTGCAATTAGCATGAAGCTAGGAGCAAGATTCACGAGAGAAAGACTGACAATTCCAGGAGAAGCTGCTGTTTTCGGAGGGATGGAATGTTGGGTAGGCGGGTTGTCGACATGATGTACTGGTATGGTTGAAATCAAAGCTCCGGCCTCCATTCTTTAGGGGCGCTCGATGTCGGGTGTTGATCTCCCCTTATCCCCGTAATCTCCGCTCCCCGCGGCGTCGGTCCCGCCTTGATGTGTTTATTTAGCTTGACAAGCGAGTCGAGTAGTTGACTACAATTACTAGTAAATTCAAGAGGCACATACCTATGAGATGAATTACAGTTGTTTACTTGCAATCTTGCTTCATTCTCATGTCATAAATCGATGGTCTATGTCTATACATGCTTAAAACCTCAACGCTTGCAGTAAGTGCTTCAAGAACGCAAACAAAAGAATTTCGCCGTAGCCGCAGACCGCCTCCTCACGTCATGTCAGAGTTCCTTTTTCACTGCCTGCAGTGATGGCCCCTCTCGAGTTTTGCATGGGGTCGGCTGAATGAGCCCCAGAACCGTCATGCCCTCTCCTACGCCCTCATAGATACCACCCGCGATACCTTCAACCCACCAATCGGTGACATTGACCACAGTTGCGCGTACCCTCCCCTCGTAAAGACCTAAGACAGCTGACCCTAAGCTCACACTCCTCTTACCCCAGCTATCCACCGTGTCCAGGGTCGTGGTAATGACGCGCTCGGTGACCCGATGAGAGCGCTCATACTGATAGACTCGCGCCAGGAGTAGCTTCAGATACGGGATGATGTATCGCATGAGGACAAAGAGTTGGATGATGATGAACGCCAACAAGCGGTGAAGCATTGACCTCCTGGATTTGAGGGGGAGTCGGTTTGTGTCTGGATTTGTGTTCGGACTTGTGAAGCTGGTTGCCGCGTGGCTTGCCTCGCCTAGCACTGGAACGGATGACTGAAGACTCAACGGCAAGTTATGTCGGATGGTCGCCAGCTCATCGTGGGTCAGTTCTGCAGGTAGAGCATCAAGTAAATATCCCATTGCATTGATGTACAATGAGCGGGCTAGCCTGCCGTCACATCGGGGCTGTTGCGCTTCATACCCTGCGTTCCGGAGAAGACTAAGTGCTAAGGATCGAGCGGGTTAGTTCAACACACCTCCAGATTTGGATTTGTTTTTACCAGCAGCTCTCTTTCCTTCTTCAGTGAGAAAGGTAGACAAAGATCCAGATTTCTTGGAAACAGCAGGGGTGAGTGTTATTGTTACGAACCAGGTATTACTCTATTCCACCGCAATCCCGACTCCGCTTCGAACCTCGACGTTGATGATACACCGAAGGCATCACCATATCTACCATCCTCGAAAGTACTGATCTCCGTCATATCTGGCGCCTTTCCTGATACAGATGACACGCATGAGTCTCGTTCGTTGCTCGAACTATCGGCTGTCGCAGGGCGTGGGTAAAAGTTCCCAGTAAGTGAGTCAGGAAGGGACTTAAAGCACTCTAGTTCCGGAATGGTCGAGGCTGACGGCATGCGCGAGTGTAGCGAAACACCCGACCCTTCAGCAACCGCATTCGCCTTGATGTTGGGCACGACACCTGAGCTAACCGATCGTTGAATCGAAGAGTACAGGCTGGGCAGCCGCCGCCGGAGAGATGCTGGGATGACGGGGAAAAGAACAGTAAAAGCCTGGGGATAGACCATTGTGTCCTGTAAAGGTGTCTGATCATCCATTATCACCATGTCGACAATCAAATGCCGTCTGCAACGATTGACAAGATATGGGGGAGGGGGTGCACGCTGTGCGGGCGAAGGGACTCTGCGAGATGCGTATATCTGACGCAGGTGGGCAGGAAAGTGTTGAGTCTTCGCTTGCTATTATCAGGCCACGGTGAATAGCACGTGGCTGTGTCAGACCGTTGAGAAGTAGCGACTGATGCATGAAGACCGTTTTGATTGCACTGTATTGGAGGAGGGGAAGAGAAAAATCCCCTCGAAAAGCCCCGGCGTCCAGGTCCGAGTCAATCACATGTCAAAAAAGCAACAGCAGTCCCGCTCCAATCCCGAGCCAACGCCGTCCCTGTCACAATTCATTATGGAAGACTCCGTCTTATATTCCTCTGCCTTCACAAGAAATCCTATCTTCAAGTTGTCTGTAGTTATAGCATCCTGGTGACCATTACTTATCCCAGCCTATGCGACCTCTATCTATAAGGTAAGTAGTCCACCCCTCTCCTGCCCAATCGGATCAGTGGCACGCCCTTCAGTGTCACACGCCCTGCGCCCTACAGCTGACATGTGCAAAGCAAGGATCAGATCACACTATTATATGAACACTATACATCGCCTCCTTTAGCTTTTGGGCAATCATAAAACGAGGCGAAATTCTCAGCTGAAAGACCTCAACGCTCACAAGACGAGAATATGAGTAACTATAAACAGAATCCGAGACTTTTGTCATACCCCCCGCCATTCAGACACTCCTTCCAGGGAAATAAAAATCCTGTGCTATACTGTGCTCAGTATCAGGACCTGCATCATGCATGTACACCTCGTTTTGTTTCGGACTAGGAATAGGAATGGGCGCAGTCGCAACCTTCGACGAGCCTAGCGGCGGCTCCATGGACACTGCCACCTGTGGCTCGGGTTCATGAGATATGAAGTTGCTGTGGGTTGCACCATCGCCCCCAAAGCCCAAATCCTGCAGCCCATCCAAAGGCATCTCATCATACCGAGAATTCAACTGTTGAAGAAATTCTGGATCGAAACCCATCTGCACGAAAGGATCGACTGAAGCGCTCAACGGCGTGGAAAACGAAGTCGCTCCAGCAGAAACACTACTGCCCCAATCAGATGACAGACCTGACTGGGGTCTAGTGGACACAAAGCCAGAGTTATCCGCATAACTACCGATGGAGCTTCCAGGGGCGCTTGCTAGAATAGAGGATCGACCGGTTCCAGGAAGCGCCGGGCTGTGGAACCCAGAAGGAGGAGCCATGGGGCTGAATGGCTGCTGCGAGCGACAGGCCGACCGTGCTAACAAGTTGGTCTCGACAGGCGGCTCTCGCAAGCCATCGGTAGCGGCGTATGGTGGCTGCATCCCCAGGTCAGAGAGCTGGATGTGATCCGAGCCGGGAACCACCTCGAGGCCAGTATCCCGTTTCAGAAAGCTAAGCCAGACGGGATTGTCGGCACAGGTCTGGTGCCAACGATCATCAGTGTTGTAGATGATCATCCGGGCTTCATCCTGAATCATCTGATCTGTGGGCAAAATGCCTGCAACCACTTTGTTGTGTATGAAATCAGTGAGCTCCCGCTTCAGTCGATTGAAGCAGTTGGCATCTTCCGCCACGACCAGTCCAGGCCCTTTGTCTGCTGCAGAAGAAGCCTTGAACGGATTGAGGGTCTTCTGGTCGTGACCAATGAGGTAAGGTGGCATGGCGTTTTCAACGAGACCTAGGATGAAGGGCTCGAAGCCCCAATCCCCTCGCCATTGCGTCATGTTGCTGCCATTCTTGAAGTGGGAGGCCAGATGATCGACTCGGTCCTTCCATGTCGATAGACTAATCCCGCAGAATCCACAACGCGATTTCAAGTCAGTGATGCTACTCCGCCATGCATCCATAGACGGGAGGAACTTGACATTGTGCATGAGCCGGAGATGCTGATTCAGGTGATCCTTCCGATAGAAAGAACGTTCGGCCGATGTTTTCTCTTGGCAAGCACTATAGTTGTGTGACTCTAGGTGGTCTATGTCTGGGTCAATGACGAGACAGAATACACAGCGGTTGGCACCGCCGATATAGGCGACTCCCCCAATTGGCGAGCAGGTCCACTTCTCCAGTGCTAAGTGAAGCGACTTCTCATGACGTTGCCAATCATACTTGGTCTGGAAGGTATCTGTGCAGAAGGTACATTGAAATATACGGGCGTTGCGACTCTTCTGTTGATTGAAGGAGTTGACGGGCAGTGAGGGCTTCCGACGACGACGCCGTTCCTTCCGTTCCATCGAACCAAACGACCCCAATGAGGAACGGTGTGAGAAGGCAGACGCAAAGGAGAGATCAGATAAGGAAGAGCGACTGGCCGATTGACTGGTTTCATGACTGCTGACTGATGGGGCATTAAACAAATTGGAGTTGTCATGGCTTGAGTCATTGCTGGACCCAGTCTTCCGTGAATAGGAACGCACGTGACCTGGATGGAACGAGCGCGGCCGCTCGGGATCGAGGGAGGTGTTGTTCAAAGCTCGAATAATATCGGATGTGGCAGCGGGTTCGTTTTCGGGGGGCGAGTGCTTCCAACGTTCCAGGGGCGTCATGGTTGCAACGTCTCGACGCTGCTGTTGTCCGGGGATGTCCACCGCTCCGGGCGCCGGAGAGCTGCTGCGCCGAGGAGCTCGAACTGTACCGCGTCGCCGAGCGTTGGCAAGCCAATTGCAGATCTGGGTACGTTTCAACCCCGTGCGCTGCTTCAGCTCGTCCTTCTCTTGATCAGTGGGGTAAGGGTATGCGCTATGGTCCAGCAGCCATGTCTTGAGGATGCGGACCGCTTCGCGCGACAAGCGGGAATTGCTCTTCCTGGACTGACCGTCCGCATCCTCGGCGATGTACGTATGGGACTTAAGCGCCTTCTTCCCTGTTAGACCACCCGTGGTATTATCGATATTCTCGGCAATCGGATGTAAGGTATCCAGGAACCGGCCGGGAGCCTCGACCTGCTTGGTGAAGCTGCATTCGCGCCAGAGGGAGATGCAACAAGTACAGCCATTTTGGAGCATCACTCCACTCTTCGCAACGAAGCAGTCCAGGTTCATATGTCTGCAGAAATCGCAGGGCTCCCGAGCACGCCTCATCGGGTAGACACCATTATCCAGGAGAGAATTGGGAACATCAACCACCTGCTCTTCTCCAAGACCCTGGTTTGGTGGCTCGTTGGAGAAATCTAGTAGTTCATCATGATGCACGACGGCGTCGCCGTTCGCAATGGCATCTCCCTCATCAATCTCGAATCTGTCCGAGGCGACGTCATCTTCACGTACAACTGACTGTGAATCATACGAAGCCTCGTCGAAATCGAAGTACTCCATAGTTATCCCGCTGGGAGAGGACCTTTAGGGCACAGGATTTAATTAGTTCAGAGAAAGACAGCCACTGGGGAATGGGATATTGGCAACGAGGCCCTAATTCCCGTCTACCCTTTGATAAAATAAGAATAAGTAAGGAGGATAGAGGAGGACCAGACGAGCAATTCCATAGAGTGGAGGGATCAAGTCATAAACAGTAGAAAAGGATAAGCGGGGCTGGGCGGACAGAGGCGGCAGAGGCGGGACCGCCAGCATGACTATGTTTTTCGTCTGGGGTATCAAGAGTACGCCGAACTGTAGAATCCTGGCCGATTGGGGGAGGAATTGGGAGGTCCAAGAGTAGCGCGGGCAGCGTAAGCCCGTTCCGAAGACGGTAGACCTACTTTTTCTGGTGCTGTAGTTCTGGTACACTGAAACAGTACTCCGTGAGTACTCAGGGAGTACTCCGATTGCCTGGGGTGGGTGGTCCGGAGGAAGCTGCGTGGTCCGGAGGATGGGGGCGCATGAATCAGGAAAAAATGTAAGACTGCACGCCCTTCCATTGACAGCGTTTTGCCTGTTCGAGTCAAGCGGCGTCGGTGCGCTGCGCCCGCACTAAACCCAGCCTGGCAAGGATGATTCACTCAGATAATCCGATTTTATCAACCCGCGATAATCTCCAAACAATCATGCTAGTTACTTCATGCGGCGCTTGATATTACTGCATTCGACTATCGGATAGACCCTCATCAACGACATGTCCGAGATGACTTCAAAAAAGATTATCCAAGTTCCGATATACTTTTTATACAAAGCCACATACGTATCTCCTTCTACTATGGTTCGTAACATAAGGCTGGTCGCCAGGACCCATCGACTCTCCACTCGGAAAAGTCTGGATGCCAAGATCCGGATGAATAAGTCGTCGCAGAACTGAACAGACAATGAGTCAAAGGGTGCCGAGGGCAGAAAAATAACTGGAGAATGAGATCAAAATACGATGAACTAAGTGAGCGAAGGCCGTTGATTGACAATGAGGCTTATTAGTGACGGTGGGTAAGTAGTAGTAGTTGGCAAGCTCAAGATCTCCGAGATAGGACCAATAAAAACTATATGCCGAGTCTTGCGGATTTAGTTCAACTCTGTAAATATAAATATATGGAGTCTGTGGTGCTACACAAGTTAGTTACTCTGGCTTGATTGTACTTCACAGCCCCTTTGAATCCGAGAGTAATATTCCGGTCCCTGCTTTTTTTACTAAGTAATCGTGACGTTCTGAACTTGAAGACCTATCTTTATAAATTGACCTATCGTAGTGGGACAAAAAGATACAAAAAAATTACACCTGGATGCATCCAGAAAGGTGGCTTTATAGTACTACCCTGGTTAGAAAAATTCATGGACAACGCGGCTGCTGGTCGAGGAACGGAAGCGCAGGCCAGCGTGCATCGCGTCGATAAGGAAATGGCGACTCGCTTCTACAATGGAAGGTAGTAGGTTTAAATCCGCCGACTCTTCTGATGATCCCACTAAGCAACTATAGGTCAGTGAAGTCCCTAGTACTTAAACACTCAATAAGTACGACTTTCTTTGACTCCTGATTATCATCGTCGACCCATTTCTACCCACGGTATGACTTTAAGATATATTTACCCACTGGTGAGATTCATATAACACTGGATATCTTTGCGGAGGGATCCATTTTACAAGTATATACAGTATAAACGAATCAAGCATGTCTCGCCAAGCCATGGTTTTCGTGATGCAAACCGATCCGAACAAATCCCCACCACACCTTCAGCAAGACTCATCCAACCTTATCATCAACCCTCTCCAGACGGCCCATTGTTACCCGATCCACCGAAAAAGTATCCTTCCAACATATCATAATTAGCATTCTCACTCCAATCATGCTGAAAATCCATCGCCATGCCGAATCCGAGGTCGATGCCGACACTATGACCGACCCCATGGCTCAGTGAAGGCATCGCTTGGAGATTGTATTCGGCGTTGTTGTCCTCGGAGTTGGGGACGTGTCCATCTGCCGTGCCGGTAGGGTCGAAGTCAAGGAAATCGAGGCTAATGGCGGACGGTGGGTCATGGGCTGGCTGGTATTGCGCACCAGCGGGGTGGCTGGGATTGTTGCTAGCGCTAACGCTGTTGGGCGAGGCGCTTTGCTGAGGGGAGTTCGCATAGTAATACTGCTGCGGTTGCGGTGGATGTGGTTGCTGTTGGGCCTGAGGCGAAACAGGGTTATCATAAGGGGATGCGTAATACTCTAGGGATGGCGTTCGCTGGGGATGGGGGCGGATAGGGGGCCGTTCAGGAGGGTAATTGGACGCGGAGGGTTCAGGGTAGTCAGGTCTAGGCCCCCTAGGTGGTGGTGCTTGGTAGGAGTGCAAAGGTTTTCTGGGTCCATTGCTGGGACGATCGGAAACACTGGTATTATCATTGAACAAGTCACCGAAATTCATGTCGAAGCGTGGCACTGGACGAGGAGCTTGTCGCAAAGAGCCGCTGCCCTGTCGACGAACGAGGCCCTGGACATGGCGAGACCGCTGATCCAGCTGGTTACCTCCGTACGCTCTGATCTGGCTGGCTTGAAGCGCAGCTGCCTTTCGCTGTGCGGCTTCAGCTTGGATGCGGGCAAGGTCAACCTGGGATCCAAATCCAGTGGTAGAAAGGCACATTTGCACGGTGGCTTTGCTCATTCGCTCGAAGGCGTCCCGACATGCCTCCGCTGGTGGACATTTGTGCATGAGGTCCCCAAGAACGGAGGTAGCAGCGAGGACGGTGAAGTCGACCTCATCGAGTGTCTGTATGCGATCAGAATATTGAATTTAGACCCTAGTCAATGGGGTGAAGTATGGCTACGTACCAAGCGACTGCGAACCAGAGCTGAGTGCCAGATTGCATAGAGGAAGGAGATACCTGAGACTAATTAATATATGCTTTTCAAGCATCAACTCTATACGACTTACCGGCCATGAAAATATGGTGTGTTGCCAAATATGTATAGTTGACTAAGCGCACGCGATGCATTTGACGGTAGATCCGAATCACCTTCTGTCCAGCCTCGGCGACTTTGTAGTAGATCTCATCTTCATCCTCCACCTCATCCACATTAGAGAACGATGGACTGGACACGTCTTCGGCAGGCATAACCTCATCTGCCAGTTCTGGTGGCACCGTTAAGCTCTGCTGATATAGCATAATGACAGCCTGCCAGTAATTCAGCTCAAGAAATTCCACAGAGAACTGCACGCCTGTGTCACGGCGGGTGGGCGCGCTTTGCTGCCATTCTGCCAGCCGCCTGTGAACGTCTTTGCGCCAGGAATGGAAAGAGTCGAAGCCTTGCAAGAAAGGCGACATAATATCTGAGCGAATGGGTCTTCTGACGGGATATGGTGACCGTTGTCTGAGAAACCGGGCTTGTTGATGTTGAAGCACGTCTTGAATTTCAGACTGCAACACCCGTAGCTTGAAGTAATGATGTGCTGCGTGCTTATAACTCGGCGTGCCTTCAGGTGGCGCCACAATGCCTGACTTTGTAATGTATTTATCTTCGAAAGCGGATGGAAACTCGGTGCTGATGGCTTGATCGCTGATACCGAAGGGGCGACCGACACAGCAACTGACCAAACGATCGAGACTATATACACACCACCAAAGCCGACGACGAAGATCTCGCACCCACTGGCGCCGCCCCAGCTCGCGCGTATCGACCTGCTTCGTGGTTTTGTCGGTGCTCTTGCTTTGGGCACGTTTGCTGATGCTCTCGTCCCCAGGTGTATCAATCTCTGTGCCATCCTCATAATGCAGTCCAAGATCAACTGCAAGTCGCATCGCCACGCCTACGATGTACCATAGCCCCGGTGCTACAGGTCGCAAGAGAGCAAAGCTAGCGAGAAGCAGCACAGCCTGCAATTCCTCCAATGCACCTGACCCGTCTCCCGAGGCAGTATTTCCCAAAAACGACTCGAGATTGATTATTGCAGACGCATGGTACTCTTCCGGCTGATGTTGATGGCTCGCGAGTCGGGGTCTCTTAGAGCTAGAGGATGGCGAATGATCTCGACCTTCTGGTTTCACATCACCGGACGGTTTATCTTCAAAAATGATACCTGCACCTATGGCGAATACAATGTTGAGGGTGTAGAGGCTGCGCGGAGACCGTTCCTTCTCATCGACTGCGTATGTCCGTTCGAGCATATCCATGAAGTCGGTCCGATGAAGAATGGGTATCTGGGCGTTCGCATGCTCGAAATAAAGGTTTGCAAGTCTCTCGGCTAAGTCTCGATCTGGAAACGCCGCACACTTCATAGTCGGTCTTGTCTGTAGACCGAAGAATGAGTCGCGCATCGTACTCCCCGCAGTCCCCGTGGCACTATGCGGCAGGCGCTCATTGGGGCGCATTGGCCCACGCTCTGCAGCGTTTCCTGACACAGAACTCTTGACAGCAGCGAAGACGACACGAGCAAAAGAGATCCCGGAGGTTGAGCCTAAATACCGCGGATCAGAGGTTCCTTGTACTGATACCATGCCTATATTTGATACCAGATTATGTATGCGCCAATTGTCCTCTTTATTTGAATCATGACTCCTCTCCAGCTCCTGTCCACTTGAAGTATCTCTCTGCTGTCTCGGTGTCGGGCCTTCTGTCTCCTTTTTCACACCAGTTTCATTGCCTTCCGCTGCAGATCCTTCAGCTGTAGACGCTGGGGCCTCCGAGCCCGCGAGTGGTACTTGAGGAGCATCGAGGCCAGCCTCCATTTTCACAGCTTCTTCTTCGTCGAACGCAACTGGCTCCTTGTACTCGATTTTGTTGTCCATCAACAGCTTCTCCAGGTATGCCACGCGAGCCTCTAGAAAGTAGACATAACTTCGGGGTATTTCGCGTTTCGTAATTGGATCGTAGCCGACGCAGCGGACGCCGGCCTTTTCGCATGATTGGCATCGAGGAAGTCGTTGATCGCAACGGTTCTTCCGTAAACGACACCGGTTGCAGGCGGATACGTTGCGGAAAGACGAGGAATTGGAGGCGGCGGAAGACGAGGAATTGGGGTTCGCGGCTGTGTGCGCGTCACGAGCAGCTTGCTGCTGAGGCTGCGCCGGAGACTCTGCAGGCATTGAGGACGTTTCGGTGGAGGAATGCGGCCTTTTTTTCCCGGAGGAGGTCGGGGAGGGGGGTGATGCGGGGTTTAGCATAGCGGAAGAGGCACGACGAAGGGAAGCGCAAAGGTGCGAGCATGTCTTGCGAATGTCTTCCTAGAGATGTTGGTCAAGCGAGATGGAAGGAGATCAATGTGCCAAAATTCGAAAAGCAGCCGAGCATTCATGGTAAGATCATGCGATGGCTTGTGCTGTATCTCATCAATCAAGTATGCTTCTGTATCGATGCGAACAAGATGCAGGCGATTCTGAAGTCGCCAGTAGCGTATCGTAACGGCGACTTAATCGTTCGGTTATTATTCGGAAGCCAAGGCACAGTTGCAGCCCATGACGCAGGCGGTCTGCTCGCACACGGGCTCTGAGCTGGATTGCAGATGTCTTTGTCGCGCAATGAAAGCACAGTAATGTGAACACACGCACGAAAAAGGCGGCAGGGAAGGGGAAGGAAAAAAAGGCAAGCAAGCACCGAGGTCGAGATAGGACAAAATTTGGTGGAGATGCTGGTGGAGGATAAGTCTGGGTCCCGGGAATCTAGTACTACTGTTGTTAGGCTGTTAGCATGTCAGCACTCACGGGCACCGGTTCGTGCTAATCTAACTTGGTTAAGAGGGCGAGCCGGGATGAGGATTCCGCTGACAAAGATCCGAAGGAGGGGTGGTTTTATTTGCGAATATGCATTGGTAGTCGAAGAAAGCAAAGTCAGTGTCAATGTAGACAGATATGTTCGTCTTCAAATCACGCAGTTGACTCAAGGCAAGGAACGAGGAATATGTGAGGAATCAATGCTTGAAGGAAGGAGTCCTTCAGAAGATGCCGAGGTGATCCAGACTGTCTCTGTACTTCATTACTGTATGTACAGTACTTAGTGTACTGTTCCTGCCACGTGATCGCTACCATACAAATGGAGACTGATTGGTTACTGATAAGCCAGCTTCCATCGTCAAGCCTCTTCCAGTAGTAGGTCATCCGTGATAACTGGCAAGGTACTATATATTTTGTGCTGCTCTGCTTGAACTATAAGCAACTTAGCACATGGCAAGCCCTCCAAGCCAGCACCCTTCCATAATAAGAGTCACGAAGAATATAGGACAGTCACATCAGTAACAGTCCGGAATAGCTTCAGCCTATCCCACTTAGGAAGCCGGGAGCCGATGGAGCGCGGCGGTCGATTCGGCCACCAGAGCCAAACCCAAGTGTCACTGTAGGAGGGTTTCTATCCTTGACCTCCCCTGGGGCCTAGCCAGCACAGCGAAGGGGGTTCTTAAAGGAGGGGCAATCTCCTAGAGTCGGTCCCCTACAAGCCGGGCCGGCTGATCCCCCTCCCTCCCTGCAACAGGCCCCGCACTACCAGATGACGTGAACGCACTGCAACAGCGTGGCCGACTGATTAGCTATTCTCGCTAGCCTACTGCATCAACGTGCGTGAGGCTTGGCCGACTTTGCTGCTGAAGGAGAGGGGGAGACCAAGTCATATTGGACAAAAACTCAGAGGCTCGACAAGTGGGTATCCCCGGGTAATTAAGGGAGTGAGGGGTAACCTGGAAAACTCACCATGGCAAGCGCGGTAGCGCTCATCTTTACAACCATAAAAAATCATCAGAGCTACAGCATCGAATTGCCAGGCGTCATTTTTCATGATAAAACAGTTGTATGTTGGAATTGTGGAGAAATTTACATCTCCACTCCATGTCTCCAGCAGTAGATTCTTTTATCCAAGAACTATCGGACTCTCGAAGAGGTGGGATATAATAGGCGCAATAACAAAAAGTGAAACGGAAAACACAAACAGCCTCCCCAATGCATGAAGTCATAGATGCCCAACGATGCCCATGCTAATGATGCCCGCAAGAAAACAATCAACAACAGCAAAATCTGAATCAAACCCGCCAGTCCTCATGCTTTTGTCGCATATGCATCCGATCTATAAACTGCGCCAGCACCCAGCTTGAATCATGGTCTAACAAAAAGCACAACAACGAAGGGGAAAGAGGAAGAAGACAAGCCACAAGCCATAATATCCACAGAATAAAACAAAAAAGCTTAAGAATGACGTATAGTCCAACACACCACGAGAGAGTGGGCGATAAGAATGAAAATGTGATATGAGAGAGTTGAGAGAATAGAAGAGGATACGTAGGAGGCTTCAGGCCTCGGTTTCGGACTTAGAAGTCTCAGCGGACGAGTGCGCTGAGTCAACATGAGGGGAAAGGTCCAGCTCATCGATGCTCGTCCGCGCGGAAGAGAGCAATCTCCGCACCTCTTCGGGAGTACCGTCCTCCTTCCCGACAGTGAGAGGACCCCGCAACACGTTCCGGTTCTCGGCCGTCTCATCGGGCTGGATCTTCTTTTCTGCCGCCTTCTCTCGCTCAGACTCTTCCATCCAGAAGCTCTCGAAGGCACCAATGATGCAAACAAGACCGCAAGCCCACCATGCCAGCACAGAGTATCCACTCTCAAGACCTTTCGAGTGCAACAATCCAGTAATTGTTGGACCGAAGGCGCGACTCAGACTGGCCGTGGAGGCTGCAGCGCCATTGATAGACCCGAGCACCTTGGAGGAAGGAGCAGCGTTGGCAAGCAGAATCGCCGTAGCGGGGAAGGCGATAACATGTAGAGTGATCTTGCTGATCAAAGCCATATAGGCCGCAGCGAGCTGCAGCTTCTCTGGCAGGAGAATGAGGTAAGGGACCATGAAGTACAATGGAGGCCAAACCAGCAAGACGAAGCGGAACACTCGAAGTGTGCCAAAACGACGAACAACAAAGGGGAATAGCCAAAGCTGCGCAATCATCGAGTATACACCCTGAACTGCTAGCATCAATCCAATTTTCTTGGTCGCCAGACTCAGACCTCCGGTGAATTTGAAAGGCAGCACGGCGTCTTCGGTGGATGTAGGAGTGCTGAGAAAGACCGGCATAAGCTGATCGAAGGAAACACTATGACTGATGACGAAGTCAGCACCGCAAAGCCGTGAGGGAAGTAGATGCTCTGGTTGGACTTACTATGCGAGAATCCCATAGGCGATGATGTTGAAGATCACTTGCTTCGTGAAAGCCTTGGGCTTCTGCCCTTTGATCTGCCCCTCAATGTCGTCGTCCGTAGAGAGATCGGCTGATCCCTTCATCGGTCTCAGACGAGGGGAAGATTCAGTACTCCTGTATTCTGGGGGCGGAACATCTTCGTAGTCGAAGTAATCATTGCCGGTAGTTTCCTTCTTGACGTCCAATTCCTCGGCCGCACTGAGACGGGATCCCTTGAATCTGTCGACCAGCCAGTTGCCTAGCTCCAATCCCGGGTCACGGCGATTCCTCTTCTCGGGATGGGTCTCCTCCAAGAACAAAAAGCCGACGATGATACCGGAAGCGAGGACAACAACGCAAACCAAGTTGGGCAGCAGGAATGGAAAACTGTCGAAAATGGTTCCCCGCTGGAAGAGCCAAGGGTAGTTGTCGCAGGGCTGTGCCAGCGCACCACCCATGGCGGGTCCGATGATCGAGCCTAAGCACCAGACGAAAGGCATAATGGAATAAGCCCGGGGTTGGTGCTCCTTGACTGTGACTATCTCCGCAACGGTCGTCTGAAGAACTCCAATGTTACCATTCAGAAGGCCTCCCAGGGCCCGGGCGACCATGGCAGTCGCCAGGTTGGGAGCGAATCCGAACACGATCATGCTGATGGCGGTCCCAATCAGACCCATGACCAAGACGGGTTTCCTGCCAATCCTGTCACTCATGCGACCCCAAAACATACCGGCGGAAAATTCGGCGAATGTGAATGACGAAGTGATCATCCCCGCATACAAAGCAATCTTTCGATCGTTGTCGGTCACGTTGAACGACTCAACCATCTGATATACATAGGGGAAGATGGACATGAATGCGATTGGCTCGCAGATGCGACATAGCGCTAATCCAACTGTCAGCCATGACCTGCCTCTATAGAAGTGCTGCCCGAGCGCAAGATGCGCGACAGTGAAATAATTGAATCGAAGATTGTGGAATGTGGAAAAGGGGAAAGGAGGAGGGGAAAGAGGGGCAACGGGAAGAGTTCGAAAGCTCTAACAGCAAACAAACTAGTATTTGCTTTGCTTTGAACACCAGTCTTTTGTAGTTAAGTGTTGGGCGCAAAAGCAAAAATCAACAGCAAAAAGCAAAGATCAAAGGACGGAAACGTACCTAGCACGAAGAGTTGCCGTACAGGGAAAGCGGACCAATCATCGTTCCGCTCGCCATGTCGACGGCCTTGTAAACACGACGGGCGTTTAAACATCTTGTGTCGCTAGATTGTCGGTACAATTCCACTGGTATTCACGGGGAGTTGAAGTTTTCTTCGCTTGCTACAAGCTCTGGTCCAAATAGGAGCAGGTTTTGCTCGCAAGATTCGAAACGGCCGAAAAGGAATGTGTCTTCGGTGTTGTAACCAAAGGGAGGGAATGCTCGGAATAGTAAGTATAGTAGTAGTGATAAGATCGCTGTGGTGAAGAAAGGAGAGAGGCTGTTGGTCAAAGGGGGCTCAACATTTCCTCCCCCTGTCGCAAAAGTCAATGGCGAAATTCCCTTTCGTCTGGCTTGCTTCTGCTGGTCTTCCTTCTGGGTTCGGTGCTGGTCAAGACCCGAGAAACGGCTAGGCTGTGTAACTGCAAGGGAATCCGATGACGCCAAAGTTTGAACCAATTGCTCCTAGAAGCTGAAATCGCACACACAGTACGGTGGACTGAGAACCGAGAAGAAATTGATTGTCCCGGTTCAATTGAAGCAATCTTCAGGTTGATCGTCTGGATAAGAGGTCAAAGGAGGCCAGGCTTGGGGCTTAGGTGGATGTATATCTAGGAGTTGATGTAACACTAGGCAAAGTAGGAAGATTCAATAGATGCTTGTCTCAATTGAGAAAGAGGGAGGATAGCACTCAAATAGAGGTTGAGAGCAGTCAAGTACTGGGTGAAAGAAAAGTAGAAAGATTTCTCGAAAGGAGAAGCCGGCCGGGCAGGGGAATTAAATGTAGTCTTTGGAAGTGGATGGCCTACTGATATGTGATCGGGCAAAAGACTAAAAAGTTGTCAGCGGTTCAAGATAGTAGCAGTAGTAACTATGGGACAATGAAGCAGGCAGGCCCTTTTCGGTTACAGCTGTACAAGAAGGACGCAGATGCAAGCGGAACAGCAAACAGCTTAGGAAATAGGGAAGGATCCACTCTAAATTATTAGTGACAGTGTTCTTTTTTTTTTTTTGAAAAAAAAATTGCTCTCTCGATCTTAGTGTCTTGAATTATTTATTCTTCTCGATTTTTTCCTGTACCTGGCTCTTTTGGCTTTGGGTTTATTTTATTTTTAATTTCGCTCTTCATTTTTTCCCTAAAGTATGATGCGGGTGGGCTAGCCGGAAGGAAAGGGAACGAGAGAGAGGCGGAGCCATCTGACACGACGGTACGAGCAACAAGACTACTGTATACGGTAGATACTGGGGTATCACATACTAGTTTAGTCTTCCGGGTAGACTGATGACAGAGAAAACAAAGTCAGAGAAAGAACCGGAAACTGAGATGGGTGGAACCAATCGCTGCATGAAAGAGACGCAATCCATCCAAGGTACGTACATCTTGTACATCGATCCTCAGGTACTAAGGGTTGCTGCTGCGTTCTGCTTGGGTAGTCAATACAATACACAGCAAGCAAGCAGATTCAAAGGCTCGGCTACCTGCTATCATGTAAGAGCGGTATGGGCTGGTCCATTTTTTGACGGAACCAAAAGATAATGGAAGGGGGAAAAGGGAAAAATCCACTACTCCATTTTCTGACCAATATTGAAAGGGGGTAGAAGGGAAAAAAAGAAACAATAAATAAAAATCAAAAAGGAAAAAAAGGAAAAGAATCCATCCATCACTATCAATTACACAAATTCGTCATATACTGAGTAGAAAGAGGATCAGATTCAGATCGGAGCTGGAATTGTAATCATCGATCCAAAATTTACCACTGTCAAACCACATTAGTCTACCAAAAAGGGAATGCGAACAGGAACCAAAGAGGAGAGGGGAAACAAAAAAAAAAACGCAAAAAAGGGATGAGGGTAGTTTACAGAGAAGGAGGGGAAGCATCAAGAGAGGAAGAGAAAGTGATGAATAAGAAAACTAAATTAAAAGGAGGAAAGAGAAAAATAAAATAGAAAATGATGAGCGATGAGGGCAAAGGAGAAACCGCAAATTGCCCCATTCCAGAGTCGCCGCACCAGATTGACCGGTAGGAAGATCCATGTTGGACCTGAGCCCTGGGCTCCGGGGAACAGTGGAAATGGGTGCGTAGCTAAAAAGTGCGCTAAATTGGCCCGTAAGGCAATGATGATCGACTTTCCAGAAGTCTGGTTTTAGTGTGACTTAGTGAGATGATAGATCTAACAGCACCTCCTTCAAAAACCCACACCTAGAGTCATTTTGTATCTCTCTGTCACCCATTCACCCACTCACTCTTTCGCTCTCTCACTCGCTTCCTCCCCCTTCTCCCCACAAGATCTCTAGTCTCAGTACGAATAGATAGAAATCAGCTTAATTTCTGATGGGTAAGAAAAATGCAGCGTGGAAGTAGTGCGCTCCATCTCTTATCCACCGTGGGGGGCCTTGTAGTAGTTAAACCTAGATTAGAGTCTACCCACTATTATGCTAAACAGGAGACGACCTGCTAACCCAACAGGTATGTGCGGTATAAGGGATCACCTCGGAGTGTAACGGCAAGGTACGTTTCGAAAATATTCAAGACACTTAAGGCTTATCACTGTACAGCCGAAGAAAACAGCAATTATGACAGCATGCGTTCAAATACAGCTCTCTCAAGCCTGATGCTTTCTGGGTCGATGTCACTTGACCTGCAATAGGAAATTAACCCAACCAGAAGATGGGTGCCTGCACCGGTGGAGCGCTAACAAGCGGTGAATTCCAGAGACTATCGTCGATGTACGGAGTACAGGACAGTGGTTCAGTGAGGAAGAAGCTAAAAACCTTGCCCGCCGGGCCAAGATTCGACGGCATCAGATAATTCCATTAAAGTCCCGATCCAGGGCGGCGTCTACCGAACAGAACGACAGGGAACCGATGAGGGGCTCGGCCGAGGAAATGTATAATGAATAGGATTAAGAATTGAGGGACGGGATATAGAGTGCAAGTTGGATTGATAGAATTCGAACTAGAAGTTATGGAAGTTCGCATGGCCATTTGTCGAAGTGGGCCACTTACTTCGAAATGGCGGCGAACTTTCCTCAGTACGGTGAGGAGTGAGTGACACTATTGCATTTTTCTCCCGCCGGGCCTGGAGTGTGCCCGCAGTGATGGGGCCAATTGATCCGGGGAAGGGAGGGAACAATTGATTGACGTCTACTGGAAATCACCGAGATATGTCATAATGAGGAAGCGTTGCGAAAGAAGGAGCAATATGACTCCTGATGTCTACAATGTCTGCAGTCATAAGATCCAGGCGTAATCGATTCTATTTTTCAAGCTCAGCTGTCTCTCGATTTCACGGAACATGGCTAGGTGCCAATGCCTTCATTGACTAAATTGTAATATGCTAACTACGGAGTACTATACCTAATCGTCTCTCGGCTTCTTAAGCAAATGCTCCGGAAGTCTAATGCAATTTCCAGCTCGAGACAAACCATTCATTAGTCGGTGGGACGAATAACTTACTGATCGGTAATAAACAATACAGCAGTGATACCGTAGTAAAAGAGACGGCCCCTTCAGTCCGGGTCGGCCGGCCGAAACCATTGTGGATGTTGGATAAGAACGAGATCATTGGGGGGGGGAGCTTTCGAACCAAAGGTTACTCAACTGACGGGGCAACTTTTACTCTCCGGTTGATGATAGCTGAGACGGGTCCTGTCGAACGAACGTTCAGCTGGAGTGCATACAAGAGGCCTCGAACAACGATAAACAACGAACAGACAAAACAGAACCATTCAGAGACATTTCCTAGGTATTCTAAGAGCCGCCATTATCTCATGCATAACCACTGATTGAGCTGCCGTCATTGAACACTTGCTATGCGACAATGAACCTGCCTCGGATTTCTATTGACGTCACCACATCGGCTAATCGCTAATCTGTTGATTTTCCCCCAGCCGCTCGAATAGATGCAAAGACCTGAAACAGCGGGTAATGCGAAAGGAGGGGCGGGGGTGGGGTGGAAGAGAGAGGGGGGGTTTCTCTGTCTCCAGAACTCAGATACCTCATGATATGTATGGAGCCAGCGATCCTGATACCTGTTTGTTTCCCATGAATGATGCTTAGTCTAGCACGTCTCTTACGTGGCTGTCTTCCTCAGCGTTTGACTTCTGAGTTGATAGTGACCCAGCATCAGAAGGTCTGAAACCGAACCGTCTTCGCAGGAGAATCTCAGTTGTCTCACAATCCTCTTGCTACGAATGCGATGCGTATCTCAAATGTCGGTAACAACGCGTTCCGTGGGGACAAACAGCACTAAGGACGGGTGGAAGTGGGAAAGACCAAGGCACTGGGATCGCAATTCCCATACGCTGTTTGCCAAGGGCGCCCTCCATAATTACCAGATTACCAGTACTCGTACTGCTGCGTACACACATTACCACAACCTTGAACAGTCCACCACTGCTGCAACAGGGAAATAGTGCCGTGCTGTGGATCTCATAGTGCCTGACTTAGCTTGGTTGAGATCGGAGGCCACGCGAGCCAGACGAGGATCAGGAGAAAAACAATGGAAGATTCAGGGCTGCAAGTAATTCTTTGACTACCATCGCGGTACGTATCTGTGCATAGCAGTGGGGCTTTTCATGATACGGACGATCGACCCTGAGCATCCACCGCCCTCTCCCCCAGGAGACGGGGAAATGGATGCTAGCGACGATGGACGGACAATAAAGCTTTTCATTCTGCTTCTCAACCGTTTTCTCATTTCGGTAAGAAAGGTTAATGCACGACGTCATTGTGCTTGAAAAAGACGATGACAAGCAGCAGCAAAAAGCCGGTCGGTAGGTAGTAGGTCGAAGGCCATTCATGACGGACAGCCAGAAAATCAGGGCCTAACCCAATTGAAAGAGTTTCTGGCTCTGACCGCTGGATTGATTCCCTTACTGTTGACTACCTAGTACTGTAATAGACCATCTGCACTCTCAATGCTTGTCCTGTCAGAGTCCGGAGAGTAGAAGGGTGAAATTAGAGGAGGTAGGTACCACGCGGAGGAAATGCAACCTAAACTTTGACCCTGGAAGCTTTGAGAGACTTCGAATACAATCCCAACTGGCAAACAAATGGGGGCAAAGCAGGGAGGCAGGTGATTTACCTTAGAAGAAGGTCTATGTGACAAGAGCAGCACTGACGATGACTAAGGTATATTACGCACTTCACTCACGCCATCGGAGATCTCCTATTCTAATCGCTGCGTACTGTGACCCCTACATTACCTTGCTCGTGAGGACATTCAGTCACATCATTGTATGTATGCAATTGCATCCAGCGCTGTGTTTCGGGACTTGCCCCTCTTCTTCCTCGTGCTTCTACTCGTTGAGAACACTCCAATACAACGGTGAGCTAAACTGCAATCAGTAATCTAGCGGTGTCAGCGTGACGTGCTTTTTGACGATGCACGCCGTTACCAGGAAAAATAATGGCTGATAGACTGTCAGCGGGCCGTCGGCA